TTTTTTAGAATTTTGGTTGTCTTTTGGCGCGTGTTTATGCAGACTGGCGTTTCCCAGTTAATTCCTGCGAAACTAGTCAAGTTGTTTGTATGATTTTGATCAAAAAAAATTTTTACTTTTGAGTCGTGCTTTCTGATTTTGTCGACTATCATCTAAAAAACATCAAACTGTTCTACGAAAAAACTTATTTTGTTACGAAATTTCTAGTTCATTGCGAAAAACATGCTCTCTGGCAACGCTGCCGCTAGGAGTGAAAGCCTGCACACGGTCCGTTGCGTTGCACAATCGACCGAATATATGCATATTTATAAATTAGCAAGGACTCTTACCTTAAATTCTGCAGGAAGTCACGCATGTATAAGCTGCTGCGTATCGCGAAAATCTAGAAAAATACGATGTTAGTTTGAAGTTAAAAAACCAGTGGGTTTAGTCATTATCTGTTTAACTGGGTTTATCAGTGTTTACAAGGAAAAGGCTTCGAAAATAGCTGCAGAACACATGGCGTGTTCATGTGCTGCCATAAATAAACCGTGGCCTTTAGCCGGAGAATTCTTTGAACTGCATTGGATGTTGTAAAAATACCGATTTATGTTCGTTTTCGTTCTGGCCAACCTTGTTGCAAATATGTTTACCAATGGAATATTCTCGAAATTAAAATCACTCAATCGGTTTTCCATCTAATTTACATCCAGCGTAGATAATGCAAATCCACCTAGATACAACCCTGAACTTTCAAGATGATTCGCGTTGTGATTGGTTAAACTATGCAACCCATTATACAACAAAGTGAAGAACGCCTTAAAGACAGGGTTGTACTGGCACCTGGAGTAAAATCTTCAGTTATGGGGCTCACACTCGTTCAATCGCATGCGATTATTTAAAGTAGAACTTTGGTCTTTTTGCGATTGTTTTCCAAAGTAATGTTTGATATTTAGGCGGCGATTTCATGAATGTATGGATACATTCATCAAATGGAAGCAAGGAAAATATGGACCAGCCAGAACAACATGGTCCTGCATTCAGGTTCTAACCGTCCACGTACCATTCCAGCCGACCAGATCCAAACGGCTTACATTAAACGGCAGCCGCAACTGTATAACTGTATATAGATGTATATGTAAACGTAACCCAGACGAGTGCAAGGAAAACAAACTGTGGAAATCAATAGAAAGGCCCTCTTGACACAAAGTTTGTTCGATATCGGATGGATAACAATCGGGCAACACTGCCCGTTCATTCCGACTTCCCAGAGGGACCACCGGCGTGCGTGACGTCACGGCCTAGCTTTCACAACTGGTTTTACACTAATCTGTCTACAACAAGACAAGACGAAAGAAATAGTTGTGCCTCACATGTAACCTGCCGCTTGGCCCCCTTTCGGATGTACCGTTGCTCGACACCAGTCAAGGAATTTTTCTCGCTCTTCCTCAACAAACAAGCTTGAGCTGTTAGATTTACCTGCGATCCGATTGGGGTCGATGAAACATGAACAATCCATCCGAAATTTTCTTGTCTCTCTGTCAACTCTTTCAGAACTTTAATAAATACTACCTTTATGATTGTCAGTTAAGTCAATGATAGTTATCAATCAAACCCAAACGAATTACCTAGCAACCATCCAGCACAGGTGACGTGATTGCAATGCACCGAAAAGTGTTACACAACACGGCAGCGGTTTTAGAGTTCATTCACCTGTTGACTAACCTAGAAACGTTACAAGAATGTTGTTTTTGTACCAGATAACTTTCATTTAGTTGGCCGATTAGGCAATCGGCCGTTTCAGCCATTTACATAACGATGCGGATATGCTGCAAGTCGACTCGCGGCCTGGGAACTTTGACCCTGCTTGGTCGGCCATAGCCAATGCGACGTTTCGGATTCCGTTGAATTGATTCAATTGCATCGAAGAAAACATCTCGACAAGTGCTTTTCTGCAAAAGGGTTGCATTGTGACAGGCAACTGACTGATTGATTGGCTTGTCAGTGAAACGGTCTGAGTAATGCGCAGCACTGTCCAGCCTCGGTAGACTCATTTTTGCGAAACAATTGCCGTCAACATGGCGGCCTCCCGTACGGTCGCAGTAGAGGTCATGGCGGTCACGTGACCCCGTTTCGTACACTCAGAGTTGTGACGTAACGAGACGGTTGCAAGTCGGCGTCGTGCGTCGTCGTTCGCCATCGTTCTATTCCGGCCAATTGGAATGCGACCCCGACCAGTTTTTCTGACGTCGATCGTTTTTAATCGCAGCAACAGCGGAAGTGTCGTCACGCGCTCGGTTGCCGTTCCGTCGGCGCTGTTGCCCACTTTTCGCCGACAAATCGCAAAATCAGGAAAACAAAGGCATATTTTCTCGGTACTCAAATTCTGCCTGTTGCCAGGGCGTTATTAGATAAAATTAGTCGTGGCCATAAAGTTTATTGGGTTATTAACTAAAGAAAACCTGCCAGCACAATGGCAGGTATAAAACCATTAAAGAAAGTTGATTATTTATAGGAAAAAATGCATGTTTTTGGGCAGGGCCGGGTCCACGTCGCATCAGATGACTTTTTGCTTGCAACTGACACCCAAAATTTGTCTGTTCCACTTTTTGTCTTGTTTGTTAAACTTGTTTCACAGTTCCCTAAGCCTTTGAAACTTCTACACCATTGAGCAGATAAGTGAATAAATTTAACATCCTTTGGCCATCGTGTTAGATTTGACGGAATTCTACAATTTATTTGGGAAACCCGCTAAATTCGATCGAATCCCACACAGATAGAGCTGGTTTGCATTTTGAAATTGATGGTAAAAAGCAATTGCAGAAAGGTGACTTTAAAGTTGCAAATTAATGAATGAAGCAATAAAAAATTCAGTAGAAAGATTCAGTCAAATTTAGATATATTGTAGAAGAAAGTAAATTTTAGTATATTTCTTGAATTTTTATTACATTTTTCATCTTAACAATAAGCCACACAAAACTGCGTTTTTTCATCAAATGTGATACTCCAACCCACTGCCCTGATTCACTGAATTCAAATGAACGGCGACACAGTGGTTGCAAATCCCAAATAGTTGCCAAAATAAGAAAAAATGCTCTGAACTTCATTTTTTTCACTCCTTGAGAGTTTTTCAATCGAGGAACGAAGTTAACAAAATTGGTTGATTGAAGACCACAAAATAACCAATCGGGGTCGCAAAAAAAGCAAAGCAACATAAACAGGAAAACTTGCTCGTCAAAATTCAAGCACAAAGGACACCGGACAAAACATTGGAAAATTGAACCGTGAGTAGTCAACGGGTGAAAATTTTAATTTATAAACGATTGACTATCATTGTAAAAACAGCCTAAAATTTATCATAATCTTGGCCAAGGCTATATTAATAGCAAGACGAAAAATTTCAAAACCTCATTATATTCGACGGAAAAAGAAGATTTTCCTTTTTGATAAAATTCTTGTAACTTGGAAGACTTTTAAAGCATTTGATGGACAGCGATCTTTTCGTTCATTTAGGCATCATATTTGCTAGAATTCTAATTCGATGAACTGATTTTATACAGAGAATGAATTGAAAATTGCAGATGGTCTTTGACTTTTTTGTTGTTTGAGTTGCAAAATCGGCAAAGGGATTTTTGGGACTTGAAGGAAATAAATCGAAAACGAAATTAAAACCGTTACTTTTTAGTAACAAATTCAATGCAAAAAAATGCTGGTCTAAGGAAAAAGAACGGAAAAATCCTCAAAACCCATGTCAAGTCTGGTTGAGGAGCTTGAAATTGGTATTCAATCTTAATCTTCAATTTAAAAAATAGCACCAGATTCTTCCTGAATGAGGAAACTCATTCGAAACAACAAGAATATTAAGCGAAACACGGGGATTGAAAAAAACTTCATTCTAAATTTGTTAAAAATGCCTCTTTAGGTGCTTGGGTTAATCGGTTAATAGATATCGCAAGAAACACAATTTTCTTTGGTTCTAGAAAAACTGAGTTTTTTCTGTAGATTAAAGCAAGCATCTAAACAAGCATTTTTACTAATTAGCATCACGGTCACCAACAGACAACTTCATTCTCAATGATCATTGGGGCACTTAAAATGCCGCTTAAAATGCTTCTTTTGACTTTGCAAATTGCGATGTAAACAGAGAAAACGGTGGAAAAAGATCATAAAATCTGCCACGAGCCGCTATTCCATCATTGGATCTTATACAGGGTATCCCGTAAGCACATGATCAAAAGGAAACTGCGATATTCTTTTGATCAAAAGAAGACGACCTGACCCAACTTTTATTAACAAAAAATGTCTGGCTGCGCTGTTATTGATGGTCAAAGTTCTCCAAAAAAATTATCTTGAAATATCGGGAGAATGGTAAACTCGCTGTGAATTTGTTCTAATGTAAGACTCATATTTTGATTAAACAATCGACGCGAACATTAGCGAATTTGCTCGCTAATAATTCTTCCTAGACAGACATTATGAAAAATAAACCATAGTCTCTCAGATGAAGCCACATTAACACTGTGTTAAAATGGCAATAAATTCTTGTAGAAAGTCGAAATGAGAACCGCACTCAAACTCTATAGCAAAGCAAGCGAAAAATGGTAATTGGAAGCCTTGTCTAAGTGTCGTTGAATTACCTAAACAACTTTTTCCAAAACTATGATATTCTTATCTTTCCTGGGTCTCAGTCAAAGTGTGAAAGAAACATTTTTAACATCGGTTATTTCATTACGTTTCGGCGAGACAACATTTTTAAAATTTACACAAACTCATGATTGGTAAAAATCAACGTTCTTTTAGGTCTTTGCCTTCTTGCAACCTTAAATTTGTCTAAAACGTTTGAAAAACAGGCAATGGGACATTTTGGGGGTGGGATTTGCAAGCAAGCCCGACAGGTCGTTGGGAAGGCAAGGCTTCGAGTGGCATGACCAGAAAACCTCTAGTTTTACTACAATAAGAAAGAAAACCTGTAGTTTTACATGTCGATGATCCGGACTACATTCGATGCTTTTCCCTTACAGTCCCAGTTTCGATTGGCTCAGGGCAGGCGAGCAACTCGCCGCTGAGCAGAACAGGATCACCCCCCGAAGCGAATGCAAGCGGACCGGGGGCTCCTCAGGTGCAGGTTCAAGGGGCTTCCGGGCAAAGCCCCATGGCGGCCCTAATGTCCGTTGCGGACAACTTGCCCCCCGGAAGCCCCCGATCCACTGGGGGCAGTCCGCCCAGCAATGCCGCTCCAAGGAGTGCCAGCAGGGGGAGTCAACACTCGCCCAACTCCACTGGTAAGAGACTGTTCTTGGAACTCTTGCTTTCAACGTGAAATAGCTGGACTTCAATTGATTTATATACAAATTAGTGCCGTTAGACTCGAGTTCTACCGTTACGTCGGTCTGGTTGCAGGAGAAAAACGCGATTAATTAACAATAACGGGCTTCTTGGTATGTTGCAGATTTAACCAGGTGTATGTAGGTTGTGGGTTGAAGCCCAGCCGCTATCTGAGCGGATGTTGGCAAGATTTTCAGGCTTTTTCTCTCGGTTCTTGTCCCTATTATTTCTTGACTGTTCACGTGGAATTTATAACTGAATGAATAATTATAACCAGCAGGTTCGACCAGCGGTCGCAGATCCAGCGGATCACGACACGTTAGTTCAACAACAGTGACATCCACAGAGGCTGGATCTTTGCCCAATGTCAATGAGGCACTGCCTGTGAGCAATGAAAGCGGGGCTGCAGTGACGACGCACGCCACTACTCCTACATTGAAGTGCACTCTCTGCCAGGAAAGGCTGGAAGACACGCACTTTGTGCAATGCCCGAGTGCACCGCATCACAAGTTTTGTTTCCCGTGCAGCCGGGACAGCATTAAGAGACAGGGCGCGGGATCTGAGGCAAGTCCAGCAGTGCCCCGACACATGGAGAACATTTCTAACTTTCCGTTTTTTTTTCAGGTGTACTGCCCCAGCGGTGACAAGTGCCCATTGGCGAATTCAACGGTGCCGTGGGCGTTCATGCAAGGAGAAATTGCAACCATTCTGGGCGAGGATTACAAAGTGAAAAAGGAAAGGGAGACATAATCAATCAGCAATTGTGAACCATATGGAGGACAAATCTGATGCAATTTGTTAAACGCTATCGGCTGGAATGGATAATGGCGAATGTTCGATATTTTGAAAGGCTGAGTTCTGAGGAAGCGATGCTTGTAAAAAGTGGAAAAAATGGCTGTGGAACTTAGTAGTTAACATTGATGGAGCTGGGCAAGAATGCAACGATGCATTTTCATCAGCTGTGCCGAATTAATTGGAGTAAAAGCACCGACAGATTGTACATACCAGCGAAACCCTAGAAGAAAACCGATGATAACATTTCTTCTTATCTTCAATAAGTATTAAAGATTTTTCGCGCAACTTAGTTGCTTTATCTGGCGCATTGTACATAAAACAATAAATCGCTAATGTACATTCGTTCTGTTTTAGGTCTTAGAGTTAAGTTTATTTAGTATTTTAATTGGGTGTTTATTTTCCTAAGTTTGTGTACATACAGCTGTAAATATCATATATTTGTCAGCTTTTACATATCCGATTAGAGTGTTCGTCCTATAAGGTATTCTGTATTCGTTAACAGAAAACGACCGTTTTTATACATCTACGAAGCTGGTCAACGGTTTACGCTGCTGACCAGGCGTTCCTGTTTAAGGTGGTACATATTATGGGCCATAAATATGAATAATTAATTATTTTTATTGTGAAAAAGTATAAACTAGTCAAAAGGCAAAGTTTATTAGAACTTTGCTAAATAGGAACTCCGACACTCGCTCATTACTTTTAAGAAAGTATTTAAACATTTCTTAATATTTATCGAACTAACAACTGGTCAATATACGATTTGCGTTTTGCGTTTGGCCAAAAATGGGGACGCTGTTTCAACATCTTTGTCTATTTGACCACGCACCTTGCCTGGGTTTACAATTGTACTTGGAACTCTTTTTAATTGTGGTGGCAGCGACACACCGGTTGGTCCACATTGTATATGTTTAGAGAGTACTGGCAATGTCAGAATTGTACATTTTTTTATTGAAGTTGTTTTCACGACTGAACGACTAATAACAACCATGAATTATTATGTAAGGCTTGTACAATCGTTTTTTGCTGTTAGTCGATGTCAAAAAAAATAAAATCAGTATAATAATACATTACAAATCTACGTGTTTAATTCATCAGTTCCAAATCAATCCTTTGTCATCAGGGCGCATTCACCAAACTATTCAAAGCCCGACTAACTTCTAACTTCATTATTCCAGGCAATCGGAATCCGAAACCCGACCCAGCTCGAATGCTGATTCGCTAGACGACAGCGTCATCAGAAGTAAAATTGATGAAGCCAATCAACTAATCGCTCGAGTAAAGAAAGCGCTGGGTAAAATCAAGGCCCGGAAACCCTGCGAAGGCTTTGAAGCCAATTCCAGCTCTACTGACATAGAGGAAACCATCAGAGCTTTGAAGCAGGAAACCGAGCAGTTGATAACTGGGTACTTTTCATCAAACCACTGATCGCTTCAGGTTAAAACCGTGGTTTCTCCCATAGGGATGCCGATGCAGAGGAGAACCAACTGCAAACACCAACCCCTGTGGAAGATGAAGAGATTGTCGTTGCTCCTCCCAGGCAAACTTGCCCCCATTATCGCAATCCGCTAAGAAACATCGAACTTCAAAGGCCGAAGACTAGAAGAAACGAGGCAGGTCAGTTCAAAGCCATGCCGAGAGTTATGTGCGAAAACTGTGTATTTATACAAGTTTTCATGTGGACAAACGTCTTTGAAAAATTTATCACAACTAGAAAAACAATCTTTAAAAGATTAAATTCATATGCGTGAAATAAATCGCACAGTCTGAGTGCAAATCTGCCTATCAAACGAATCCGAAAGTTTCTTTATGGGACTTCATAGGACTCAAATCCGGATATTGAGACGGTTATTTCGAAGCGTCTATTTCTTTCTCGATAAACCACGCTTGTTATCTGCTCTTATAGCGGGTTTGGAGCTGGATTGAAACTTATTTTATTTGCTAAAACGGCCCTTTTTGAAATTGAAATTTTCGATACTTCGGAGAAATTTCAAGAAAACTTGAGTTGTATGGTTACGATTCAAATTCCGAATGACTCCGCTTTTTTTGTCGTACAGAACCCGTTTTCCTATTGTTGGAGATAGGATTCAGTAGTGAGAACGTAAGAGAAGAAATGGTGACAGTTTTCACACATTTTCGATGTTTAAATATCACACATTTAGCTGCAAGATTAAATCAAAATTTCATGTTTTTTGCCACATTTTCGTTCATTTTCTTTCGCTTTCACAAGAACTCTTTTCTACACTCCTGGATAGAGTAGGGAATGGCGCTTCTACGAGATGAAGCACCGCTTGAAAAATGTTAGCAATTTTCACAGAAAAGTCAAAGTTACCAGAAAACAAAGTTTTGCGCGCTTGTTTTTTTAAGTCGGAAATCGAATGCCGCCGATTCGAAGTTAGGAAATAGCGAGAATTTTCACACACCAAGCGAAATTCCGATATTACAGTGGCAGTTCGTAACGAAAAATAGTCAAAAACTCGCCCATTTCCAGAAAATCAAACTAGATTAAATCCGGTCGCAATACCGCTAACTACCAGAACATCATGCAATATTACGTTTTTCCTCGCCATTCCATACATAAAATGAACGAATAATTCGATTATTCCCCTCACTACTTCTAACCGCTGCTATCTAGACGACGATCTTTCCGGGCCTGTTCAAAGAAACAAGTTCATCACGCGACCGGATATCGAGCAGCTTGCCACCAGCAGCAGCTTCGAGCAGCTGCAAGAGAAGCTAGAAACCATCTCTGAAACTACCGAAAGCACGCCAAGAAAACCTGGTAATTCGATAAAAAAAAACTCCCGACTTTTGCTGAAAATTGCTTTGTAGCTGAACGCCGAGAGCAGCTGGATAAAGCCTGCAATACTGCGCCCTTAACGGCTGAGAGCAAAGAGGTGCAGGTGGCGCCTGAAACGAACACTGTTGGAGCATGCTGCAGCTGCCCCAAGTGCGTTGAGGTAAATCCACGCTACTCAGTAGCTAATTGCGTTGTTGTGCAGAGAAAACAAGAAAATTCAAGCCAACGGGGGTTGGACCAAGAAGAATGTGGCTATAGAAACTGAGCCACTTTCACTCTGCAAGCCGCTAGAAATCCAGAACCTTCCTCCTGCAGATATTCCCTCTAGGCGAAAATGTAGCACCTGCCAAGCCGAATTCTTGCCCCTATTGGAGATTCTCCCCATCCCCCAAGTGTGCGATAAATGCAAAGTGGTGCTACAGCACGAAAATTTACCTAGCTGCTGCATACGCCCAAAATCAAAGGCAGGTTTACTAATTTATAAAGTTCTTGTGTCAAAACACTTGAACGGTTGCAGCTGAAGAAACTGACCATTCAAGTCTTGCCGCCCATTGTGATCAAGCAGGGCCTTACTTTGAGGCAAGTCCTCAACTTATCAATCGGGCCTAATGGGAAAAGCAGCAATCAGGTCCAAGACACTGAAAATGTTGCTTACTTTGCAACAACATCCAACGATCTGCGAGTCTCTTGGTCTTCCAAAAAGAATGAAGATGTGTGGTTTAATGACGAACCCATCAGTGGCCCTTTGGGAGAGAATGAGGAGAACTTTAATTCTCCTATTGTAGTCGATAACAATGAAATAGATGCTCCAGATGTGGAAACTGTTGAGGTCCAGCATCAGCCAGAGCAGGATCCGCCCCACTTTCCAACCTTCCCTACGAGTCAAAGCTCGTGTAGCCAACCGGAGGCTTTTCTGCACGACATCGACAACGAAAGCCAGTTTGTGTCAAATTCGCACCTACAACCGCCCGGAAATATTAACGGTATTTCCTTTATTTCCATAGTGGTGATTAATTTTTTAATGGCTCTTGGCAGATTTACTAGCAGAACTGGCCGATTCCCGAAACTTGAGTCCTGAGCTGGAGGCGCAGCTACGCAACAGAATTCTTTGGTACAAATCGTACCATATCTTCGACAACCCCAACAAGCACGACCCCGGCCCTTTGGACAAAAAATCTTTAGAGAAACTCTCCCAGATAGACTTGCAGTTCTACAAAACCTTCATCAACCCCAACCCCACTTTATCTCAGGAGATATTCACTCCTCATCAGTCCCGTAACAAACTGATGGGCTTTGAGTCGAAAATGGTAGCTGGTTATTCGCATTTAATCCGCACTCAATCAGTAGTCCCATTTTTTAGGTGCAGTGCAACGAATCGATGCTTTTGGACGAGCCGCAAGCGCCTGAAGCCCAAAAGACGCCAATGGCCGACAAAGAAAACGAGCTGGAGTCAACGGTAACACTTTACTATTCAAAGCTTGTGACGGCTTAAATGATTTGTTCCAGATAACAGTACTGAGGATGAAGGAAGCTGAGAAGAAACAACAGAACTCTTTGCGAGAAAGCCATCCAGAGTCTTATTCATCTCCTTCAGAAGTCACTGTCACTATCTCCTATTCGGTGTCTTCTGAAGAGAGACTGAGGGCGAAAGACTCGAAAAAGAGCACATCGGAAATGCATGAAACCGAGGTGAAAACCATCGACCTAGACGATTATCAAGAGCTGCCTAAGGATCTAGAGGTACCTAACTAGAACTTCTTTCTAAAGCCGCTTCTTTGTCTTCATATCGCTTCTAGGACAAGGTGATTAACGTGAAGGACAAAGAAGTGATCAGCAAGCTGAAGGACAAGCTCAAAAGTGTGGACACCAAAGACTCACAGCCCATTTTCACGTTAAGAAAACAGACTGCTGATGAGGAGACTGTTGATCAGTTCCTGAAGGGACTGACTAAATTTAAGGAGAACAAGGAAGAATCCGGCCAACAGCGTAAGTTGGTTTGATTAATTGACTAACTTGACTGTTTTTTTAAATGTTTTGACTGGCAGACTCCGTTGACTCCAGCAGCAACGACTCCCAAAACGGAACAACTAGTGTTAACTATCTGTTGAGTCAACATCTGGAATTGGGGAAAAATGGTATGATTCTGATGAACCAGATTGGGGGAAACTAACCCGGTTTATTCACAGGGAGATACAGGGATGAAGAGAACTTGTTTGCTCAAGTGCCGCATCCTAAAATCGTCAAACCTGTTAAGGAACTAAAAATTCCTCAACGAGACCAAGAGATTGCAAGACCAAGACCTAGGCATCAACTGCATCGATTTTTACCGGACACTTCCAATAGGTGATTCATTATTAACCGAAAATTTTTCCGAATTTTCACTTCGCGGAAATCAAAGTGCCCACGTTGTGGATAATGTCGTTCCGAACACTTTTTCTTAGTTGCGGTTCTTGTGCAAATGCGTTTTTTTGCGAATCAATGACGTCCAGGGTTTTCTATTGGAAAGCTTGTGCAGTTCAACAGTGGAAAACTGGCGCATTTGCCCAAGAAACGCCACTAAGTAAAAGTGTTCGCAATGACAGAATCTACAAAGTGAGCAACTAAATTAGAAAATTATCTATTGTTTTGGTTAGTGAAACAGTGACAAGCAACTCATTATCAGAAGGGGAAGTTCGATGCAAGCACAGTGTTAGCAATGGGGAAATTCACCCCTGCCGCTCTCGCTGGCCACCTCGACGACAAAGAACGATTTTAACGAAACGAAATTTTCCGCTACCGCTGACCCATCACGAAGCTCATAATAGGGGCACCTTAGGAAAGTTTAATCTGGACGACCCGAAACTGGCCATTGAGCAGCGACGGAACTACTTCAACAACTGGGTTACTTACTACGTGAAGCCGCAAGATGTTTATGAGAGCACCACCTCGAGCTGTAGCAACAATAAATAAATCCGTCCGAATTTGTGGCTTTAATTTTAATAAAAATCAAGCTTTGCGGCAATTGTTGCTCACAACAGTATCGACAGAATTGGGGAAAAATAAATATGAATTAGAGAGATCTAGATAAAAAAAACATTGGCACCAACACGAAATAGTAAGTCCAATTTCCGGTAAGTTTCTGGTTTATCAGGCGTTGGCGTTTGAAGTTAACAATATCTCATCTTAGAGATAATCATTTGCTAACGACTGTGCTTGGTACCCAGATAGCACAAAATATTACATACATATTTAGGAAATATTTATATGTCTGCTACATATTTCAGATCAAAAGCAAGTATTTCTTAAATATTATTTTTTAAATATTTGTTTCTAATATTTAATTAGCATGAAACAAATAAGTTATTAATCATTTTCTTATTACATAATACTTTTTGTACCTATATATAACAACCTTAACACCCAAAAAGTTACTAATATATTATTTTTAATAAATGTGAACAAACTTTAGAACATATTATCTGAATTTTTATTGATCAATGAATAGCAAATATTTCAGAGCAAAAGGAAATATTTTTTAAATATTATTTAAATGTTATTTAGAAAATATTTGTTTCGCAGTGGGTTTGATAACTTTGACGTCTGTTGTCACCGTTCACCATGTTTCGACGAAAAAGCGACATTATCGAACGAACGCCAAACCTTTTGAGTTTGATTTTGAATAAATCAATGCATAACTCTATTTCTAAAAACATTTTAATCTGGATTTTCGTAAAGTTTGTCAGTCATTGTGTCATATTGAGAGTACTATCGGTAGAGTTCAATTTTGGAGCTTTCATGGCGCGTTAATAGACGGCGCTTTAGGTCAGACATGTTTTGGCCAACGTGCTTTGAGGACACCAAAAAATCGTTGGGCCGTTGAGGAGGAAATTCAATGGCAGCTTTTCTATGAACTTTTCTCTTCTGCATCCAATTTGGATTTTTTTTTAATTTCTGAGATTTAGGACCGCATAATATGAGTTCAAGTGTTACTGCTTTAAAAGTAAAATTCTCAGCATCGGACCATTAAACTTGATAGATTATCGGTTAATAAGAAAAAAATACGAAAAAATACAATTAGAACTTACTTAACCCGTCTAGGCCGTCTGCCGATGGCACAACCGAACAAGTATTAACAAGAGTATGAAGAGTTGCGTGTCTTTCGATGTGGATGTCGTCGATGTGACGTCAGACGGATTTCCAGCATGGCCGCGGCACCTCTGACAGCTTGACATCAAAATACAGCAAAAAACGAAGAAAACGCGACGAAAACAATAAGAAACCCCACAGAAAAACCAGTGCGTTCGACATAGGAACAGTGCCCAAATCGGAATCCGCGGTTTCGCCTCCTCTAGCACGCGACCCGAACGAAAATCGGGACAAAACATCGTTTTTGGTGCAGTTTTTGTGACCACCTGGCTTACGGCCGGGCCCCGATCTTCGGAAAACTATGGGCGACCAGTGTTTTGCAACCGATTATTCAAGGTCTCTAGTTTTAAATTGGTAAATAAAAATCTCAGCATTATATCACATTGTTCAGAAGTTTCGCCTGTCCTCGCTGATAATCAATCTGGTGATCAAAACAAATAGAATACATAATATACAATAGATATGATTTTTTTGACACAACGGGGCTTTGCCCCTGACGCCTTTCCGTTGGAATTATTCTATTTTCACCCGTAAACTAGTCAGCGTTTAATTTGCGTAAAATGCTCAGTCAGTGACCCCAAAAGTGTTTGCGCCTTCACCCCCAATTGATTAAAGGGCGGAAATCAAATTTGTTTCTCCTTACGTTGTAGGTGACCGATTTTTCTTCTTTATAGACCTAGTTGCTGTCTGTCTGGCAGCACCGGATGCCTCCACTGCTGGGCGCCCCCTCGCCCGTCCGCCAGTTGAGGCGCATGGACTCCACTACCGGCACCCGCTACGCGTTAACAAGCCCCCCCAGTTGCCCCAGCACCCCTGGTTCAACCCAGATAGGTACAAACCCACTCCAACCCTAATCATTCATTCTATCTATTCTATACACATTGATATCTGTTGCTGCGGCTGCTGCTCCTTAGTATGCACAAAAACATCATTAATAGTTCTTTAACTAATTGGGAAATCGAAATGGAAACCCAACCCAGCCAAAAGCGATAAGACTGTATCGAAAGTGCTTTATAATCTGAACGAATTTTTATTGTATGTACCTTTCCAGGACAATAAATTACGGGCATATTGATAACAATGTTGCAAATCATAAAAATACTGATGGTTCAGTTACGATGTTAAATAAATTCTCTGTTCTGTCTCTTTTCCTAGGTTCTCCCTCGGGACTATGTACCGCTCTATTCGACTACAAGGCGCAGGGGGAGGATGAGCTGTCTCTTCGCAAAGGCGAAATCGTGGTGATTCTCTCTAAGGATGCGAAAATATCCGGCGATGAAGGCTGGTGGACTGGGAAGATTGGAGACAAAGTGAGTGAAAACATTTTTTAAATTCAATTGCTGTTTAATCAATTGTTTTCGGCAGGTGGGAATCTTCCCGGCGAACTTTGTCATAGATGCAGCCGAAGAGGAAATCAACCATGTGGACTCGATCTTTGCCGATGTTAATCTGGTTAAAATCGATTTTAAGGAACTCAAGCTGGATGAGGTGATAGGAGTGGGCGGCTTTTGCAAGGTATGCACCGGGATTTTTCGACTGTTTAAATAGTCCAACTAACACAATAATTGTAGGTCTATCGAGGGGAATGGCAAGGGACAGAAGTGGCGGTGAAAGCGGCGCGCCAGGACGCCGACGAAAACCTGCAAGTCACCCTGGAAAATGTGATAAAAGAAGCGAAACTCTTCTGTCTTTTGCGGCACGAAAACATCGTCTCGTTAAAGGGCGTTTGCCTGCAGGAGCCCAATCTCTGCCTGGTGAGCTTTGGCGATTTTCAACCAACTGGAGGTAAATGCTGATTTTGGGCTGGTTGCAGATTCTGGAGTACTGTCGTGGCGGTTCCCTCAACCGGGTACTAGCCGGTCGGAAGATCCGACCAGATGTGCTGGTGGATTGGGCGATTCAGATCGCTCGAGGCATGGACTATCTGCACTCGAGAGCCCCAATTTCCCTCATACACCGCGACTTGAAGAGTTCGAATGGTAAGTAACCGCTTTAATCCTATTGCAATCAGTACCCATTTGGGACACCATCGGGTTTTTCCCGGCTACAAATGGCATTTCCTTTTCTGCGGTGTGTTTACTATGTTCAGCACGGCGTCGTGACGATTAGAGGACGGTGACCTGGCCGCTAACATTCATATATACCTGGCGATTGTCGTTTTTTCGCGTTAAAGGCCTTGGTTTACTGGGAATCCGCCGTTGCCGCTCAGTGTATTTCCTGCGGTTACAAAAACCCAAATGCGCATTTTTGTGGCGGATGTTCCAAACTGACCAATTTGGACAGCCTTACGTTCACTGCGCGCATTTGCATTCAAGCATCCTTGCCCGCCGCCTGAAACGGCTGTTCAATGCCGAAAGGAAATGAATTCATTATAGTCGGCTTATTTCCTTTGCATTGGCATATTTTGTGGATTTTTATCAAAAATAATTAATAGTCAGGTTTAACAGAGGCCCTGACTGCTAATGGGATCTTTTTTAATCCTTTCGACTCGAAACCTTCGAGAATATAGTTAAATAGAGTAGTAAAATAAAGCTATCGAAAAGGTCCTCAGGACTAGGGTTTTAAACGTGCCTCATCGGCCTACGGTCTAAGTTTGATAATCCACTGTTGTTTTTGTTTCAGTTTTACTTAGCGAAGCGATCGAAAACGACGATTTAAACTGCAAGACTTTGAAAATTACCGATTTTGGCCTGGCCAGAGAAGTCTATCAGACGACCCGGATGTCACAAGCAGGTTTGTTTAACGTATTCAAATCGTTGCAAAAACCTCAACTGAACCGTTGTAGGAACGTACGCCTGGATGGCACCGGAAGTAATCCGAGAGTCGACTTTTTCTAAGGGAAGCGACATCTGGAGTTATGGGGTGCTGCTATGGGAATTGCTAACCGGGCAAGTCCCCTATAAAGGCATCGACACCCTTGCAGTTGCTTATGGGGTGGCTTCCAATCGGCTGACTTTGCTCATTCCCACCACATGCCCGCAACCCTGGAAGGAACTGATGGAAAGTGAGTTGAGCGACGGCGTGATGAAAACTCCGATTGCCAAACAAAAGTGTTTGTTTAGAATGTTGGGAGGCAGATCCGCACAATCGGCCCTCATTCGAGCAGATTTTGGAGGATCTGAACGAGATCGCACACTCGTCCTTCACTCAAACCCCGCACGAGTCCTTCCACATCATGCAGGAAGACTGGCGCCAGGAGATTGAGGAAGTGCTGCTCGATCTGCGCAGGAAAGAAAAGGTACTAATCCAACCACCCGAAAAGCCGCCTAATTAAATTAATCAATTCCCGTTTCTCTTACAAGGCGTGCAAGTCATACGAAGAGGTAAAGTTCGATAGTGTGGTTGATTGATGATGATCAAGAGATTAATTGATTTTTTTATTTGAGTTTTGCACGAGTTTATCATGCATGCATGATTTGAGACACACAATTTCCTTCCACTGAGTTTCATTGTTCAATGGTTTATTCCAACTTTGATCGATGATAAAGTTCTTCATCTTCACTACTCGAAAATTTCAACCCAATAGCCTGTTTTTTACAGTTCCGCATCAGAGCCATAAGAGTCCAACTTCCCATATTTCCTTAAAAAAACATGAGTCTAAAACAGGGGAAGTTCGAATGAACCATTAAACTTGAACATTGTCTTAAACCTGTTGCGCGTTGTAATGAAATTGTCGATGTTTAGGAGTTGCGGAGCAGAGAAGAGAAGATCAACAGGGCCCAGATGGAGCAACGCCGACACGAAGAGCACTTGAAGCAGAAGGAGCTAGAACTACACGAAAGGGAAATGTACATTTTGGCCAGGGAGTTGGACTATATGATTCAGCATCAGCAACCTACGCCTACTCCCAAGAAGCGAAAGGGTGAGTTCTACGATTTATCCGGGAAATATTCTGTGACTGGTCTTGATGGTTTGCAGGCAAATTCAAACGCTCCCGGCTTAAATTGAAGAAGGATTCGGGCTCGATAATCAGCTCTCCTTCGGATTTTCGACACAAATTGACGGTGAAGCATACAGTTGACCCCAAGGGGGGCCTTGGAGGCTTAATCAGCCCGAACAGTCCGCCTGGTACTCCCATAGGCCGCTTGAGAGCCATTGCGCGTAAGTAAACGTACTTTTTTTTTGCTGAAGCAGCAAACGGAAAAGTTCTGCTGGAGGAACTTTCCTCCAGCAATAGCAGCATTTTCTGGAATTTCTGGCATGTGTTTTGATTGGCATGAGTTTGTTTTTCCACTTCTACTATAGTGTGTGTTGTGTTTTCTGGACATTCTAGATTTTTGTTAGTTGTGTGAAACCTTGGCCTTGCAATTATTCGACTAGGTTTTGTTTATTTTCCATCAACTACGTATAAACCGGGGATTCGGTCGCGATTTGAAAGCACCACAACACACACACACACTCAAACAACTAAAGAAGGTAAATTGGAAAAATGGCCATTTTCTTTCAGTCCCAGCGGACGGGGTAAAAGGTAAGACGTGGGGCCCAAGCACGTGCCATCAGAAGGAGAGGGGCCAAATCCTGCTGCCGGAGGCGAAAAGCAGCGCCATTTGGTCGAAGAGCGCCCCCAACTTGGACAAGACCAGACAGTCGTTGATTGGGCGGAATCAGTCCTGCGATACAGGTAACGTTTCTCCCACTCTGAGCACCAAGTCCGCATATTCGAGAGGCTTCAGGCTGTTCAACAAGATGCTGAACAGCCTGAGCCATCGCGATAGGAAGCCAGTCGACTCGTCCCGTAAAAACAGTATCACCATGAGCCCCGTAAACGATCACGCGCTCAGAAGGACTGGCGCCCTGTATCAGAACAATCGGCTCAGTCGCTCGATCGGAAACATCGACGACTCGATGCATTATGACACGGTTTTTAGTACGGACAGTTTCATTATAGCGAAGGGCGTTGGGGGGCCTTTAGGGGAGTCGAGCGACGATGTCAGCGTTGATTTGGAGTCCCAAGACTGAGAAGTTTTTCATTCATTAACTAGGCGAGTTCCTAACTTTTCGCGTACAACAAATCATTTCGTAATCGAAAATATTCAGATTTCTTGCCGAACTTCATGTCATTTTAGTCAAATCTGGAGGCCTTTGAAGCTCAAACATTCGATCAGAGGTTGCCCGCACCAGCTCTTTGTATATAGATTCATTATGTAGAACGTTTAAATCTTATTTTAGTGTAGGTTCGCTATGTACAGGGTGAGGATCGACAATGCGCTGTTGGTTTAAAGCATTAAAAAAGTGGTCTTTCAACTACACTGATCTGTTGTTTTATATTTTTTATTACAATTTTATGCTCTATTCAGTAATAGAAACAGAAAGTCTGTCTGTCGCTCAAGCGGTTTTTTAGAGTTGGGGAAAATACTAGAGCGGTTTTGAGAACTATTTTTTGGCAGTAAACATTTTGTCGCTTAAACGGTGTTCTAAGAATGAGCCAAAAGCTAAGAGCGGTTTAAAGAAGATCAGAATGATTTTTTATCTGGCCATTTTTTTGAGATGATTAGAAGCTTTTCCTAGTTGATGTTTAATATGAAAAAAATGGAGAATTTTGAGTTTTATGCAGTAGTGGCAGCAAGAAGTCTGTCGATCAAACGTTTTGGGTAAAAAAAAATGCTAGATAATTGCTCCATGTGACTCACCCTGTATAGGTCAATAATATACGAGGATAAATAAATAAGAACACTTTGGGCTAGTGAAAAATTACTTAATTTTAATTTATTAGTGTACAAATGTCGGGGACTCCAACCAAAGTCGAATTCCAATAGTTTAATTAAATACTGACTTTTGTTGTTCTTTGCCCCCCCTCAAAGGCTACTCGCAGGAGTGTCTTCCAAGCATTATATGTAAGTCTTGATTGATTGATTGGTTCACCTTTTTTTTTTAATTGTCCCCATTATTCATTTGATTTATTTATTATTTTTAAGTTTGTAGCTTTTAAGCACCGCATGACTAGATTGTTTTCATTTTGACTACTATTAGCCAATAGCTTATTTAATTAGTTGACTTTTTAAGTATTTTAGCCGTGTCGTGTAGCTTGTAGGTGTAAATGCGACCTTATTTTAATTTAATGCTTAGATTTTTTTTTCAATAAACCGTTTTCCTGGTGATGGTCCAACAGTTGTATAACGTTGTTATATTTTAATAAAAACTATAACAACCCTAAATACTAGTTTTTTTCCTACTACTACTACTACTACTACTAGCATGTGTACCAGCCACCACTAAAACAACCCTTTGAGTTTTGTAAAAATATGATTTTAACTAGCTGGGCATTGGATTGGAGATAGATTAGTTGTAGCCAAGTGCATTTTGCGTATTTTTGCAAACCGCTAACGTACCTTAAGGCCGATAGGGTGGAGGGTTTGGGCTGCCACCAATAACAGCTGGTTAACTTTTGGCGAAGCCAATCAGGTAACAATGAGGCCCTTGTCAAGGGGGGCAAACGGGCGAGTGAGTGCGCTTTTAATTTCTCCGTCCAACTCTGTTTGCTTTCAACAGATTACGTGCCTCCAGAGGATTGGGGCCCCGAGTACCCCATTGCGGGCGCTGTAAGACACAACATCCCGATGCCCACACTGTACAACGCCGAAGGTAAGAGGTGCAAACCGCCCCTAGACAAGCTCGCCAGTAATAATTTTTCTCCCCCTAGGACAACGGCTCAAGCCAAAGCTGAGTATCGTGGAACTCGTGCTTTATAACATCGCTGCCATGCTGGCTGGAGTGGCCTCAGGATACGATGTCAGACTGTCGAATATTTCGCCTCTTCATCCCCGCCTGCAGCCCAATGGGTGAGTGATTATTTTAAATATTTCGGACCAAAAATCCCATTCGTTGCAAATAATATCTCTATTAATAGCTGTTGCTAGCAAAGAGATACAATTTTCAAAGATTTAACAAAAATTTAAAAATATTCTAAAGCAAATGCTAATGCTTTGTTTAATGTATATAACACAAGATTTTTTAAAGACACCAAGACTATTACTGCACCTTACATCTCGTGGCAACTCATTATAACATTTCAGTCCCTTATAAAATAAACTGTTTTGACTAGAACTACTACTAACTCTATTCAAATATAAATTATCATTTGACCTAGTGTTATGATCATGTATGTCCTTCACAAACTTACAATTTTCTAACAGATGTCCTAGGGACAGATGGTTTAATATTTTGTAAATAAAAACGAATGTGTTATACATAACAGTCTGTCTAATACTCAACAAATTTGTTGATTCTAGCATATCACTAATTTTTAAAAATTTAAAATTAAAATTTAAAAATTGCAAATGAAGAATCTTGCTCGCTTTCTGTTAGAACCACTGAATAAAACCTTCGAAATTGTTTTCAGGCGAATCGAAGTGTCGGACCTGCCGGCCTGGCGGCCAGTAGAGCCGAAAGACTACGAATATTCCACCGTATCCGGATACAACCACAACACCTATCACGGTCCGACCAAACACTGCAGACCAATGTTGACGGGGTCGCAACTGCTCACCTTGAAGAACGAAGAAAAGCGCCCCTTGAGGTTCACGGATTCGCCTCAACATCATCCCCCCAATCCGTCGCCGAGACGCAAATCCAGCTCGACGAGCAACGACGGTTCGGATCTGTACGGGCCCTTTGAACGGGCCGCCACCATCTACATTCCTGGAGAATACCATCGGTAAGAGGGTGGATTGAGGAAAACAAAATCGGTTTTGAGGAACGTTTTGTTTCAGATGCCCACCCGAAATCGGGTGCGCAGCCAGACCGCCGGAATCCTACCCGGGGTATAACAGCCAGCAGGAGCAGAGCCACGGGTACAGTTCGGAGCACAGTGGAACCACTGCCACCCTTTATGGATATGGCACCGACTATGCGTATGATAATCCGAGTAGCGTGAGCAGCCAAAGTGGGGCGCGCACCCCCCAAAGGCTTACGCTCCACACGCATCGCAGAACGCCCTCCAACGTCTCCAATGCAAGTTCCACCACCACGAGTGGTTCGAATGTGAATCCCAGCTTTAGGTGAGAATTCATAGTCTAAGTATAGACGGGTAAAAAATGTTCAGTCCGTTTTTGAACTGCAGATTTTTGTTAGCGAAGTTTCGAAATGTCGGTGAAAATTGGAAAAATTAGCATAGCAATTGTACATTTCAGCACGTGCAGTCTGGTGTGTTCTATAAAAGGGTGTAAACGACAATCGTCTAGGAATGTTTGTTTTCGAATGATGAGTGTTTAAAGAAAACCGTGTTTATTATGCAGGTGTTGAAATGGGTTAAGTTTCAAAATCGCGGTAAAAATTGAAAAAAATTGGGCTTGAAAGCAGTAATTTCTGGATCTGTAGAGTCTTGTATGCTCTATAAAACGGCACAAGTCGTAGTTATCTAGACTATCTAGAAGAGTCTGTTATTGAGACGATTTTTTAAAGGAAATCGTGTTTATTTCGCATATGTTAAAATGATCCAGTTTTCAAAGTTGTAAAAGTTGGGCTTGAAAGTGAAAATTTTGGACTCAGTAGAGTCTGGTGTGCTCCATAAAAGGCCGTAAGAATTTTTTCGTTTAAGAATTTCCCTTGTCGAGTTACTATTTTGTAAAGGAAACCGCATTTATCAAACAGATGCTAAAATAAGCCAAGTTTTAAAATTGCTGTAAAAATTGGAAAAAATTGCATTGAAAGCAACGATTTCAGGACTTGCAAGGTCTTGCCTGCTCTATAAAATGGCGTAAGCTGGAATCGTCTAGCGATTTTCGTTTTCCAGTTATGATTTTCTTGAAAAAAACTGTTTTTATTACGCAGATGTTGAAATGAACCAATTTTTAAAATTGTGGTAAAAATTGGGTTTAATAGTAAAAATTTAAAAATTTGTAAAGTCTGGTATGCTTTATTTTTCTCCCGTTTTTATTACGCAGATGTTGAAATGAGCCAAGATTCAAAATTGCTGTAAAAATTGGAAAAATTTGGCTTGAAAGTGAAAATTTCAGGACTTTGGCAGTGTTTTGTGTAATTTATAAAATGGTTTTTGAGTTATAATTTTTTAAATAATACCGTGTTTGATGTTAAAATGAACCAAGCTTCAAGACGTGGTTAAAATTGGGAATTTTGGTTTCCAAGTGCAACTTGCCTAACTGGGAGAAAGTCTTCTGCTCTATAAAGCAAGGTAGATGGTGGCATTTTTTCAACGCCAAACTCAACTTCCACCTTAAGTTTATAAACTGAGATTTGGGCGTTTGTAGGTATTTAATGGGCGTTTTTTTTCTGTTGGCTGCAGGTTGGAGGAAGAGTACACTCCCACTCACTACCTGGCAAGGCGGCCGCAGTACGAGTTCGAGTACAATTCGTACTCGCGCACGAACTCGCAAGACTCCACCTTTGAACGCCCCAATACGCTAGAAACCGTAAGATTTGTTCATTGAGGGAAAAGGGGGATTTGCTATCTTTCCCTTGTTTAGGTGGGTTACACCAAGCTGCGTTCCAGCTTGAAAAGGAACAACTACGCATCTTCAGGGGGCGGGCACTCGGGCGGCAACACGCCCACCAATCCCACGCCCCCCGACAGTCTTACCAGTGACGACAGTTCGTACATTTCAGCAAAAGAAAGCAACAACGGCTCGGTCAGCAGGTAAGTCGATGTTTGATTCAAAGTAATTGCGGTAATTATTCATGTTAACAATAAGCATATTCCCTCAATGAGTGCATTTCCAAAAGAAACACTAAAAAAGTAGAAGACGAAAGAGTCTTTTACTGATTATCATCACGGTCACTAATTAACCACATCTACTAAGAAAACTGGTTGGTAAGCGAATCATCTACAAGGTGGGCACTTTTTTAATTTCGAACGCGAGCGTCTGATGTTTTTGGTTATTACCGTGATTGCTGCCATTGGTTGTTTCTCCCCAAGGGTCCGGTTTTCCCCTACCACCCTCATAGATCTGCCGGTGCCGGGGCAAAGTTTGGACCCCACTGTGCCCCTACAAGCGAGGCGCAGCCGTCCGAGGCCCACGCTGGCCGAAATGGAACGGGAATTTTTGTCATAATAACTATTTTGGCTTGGATTCCAACCAAAGCAATCAGGGTGGTTGAGCTATATTTCTAACCGCCTTTTGCTTCGATCCGACATAAGCTAGTCTTGAGAGCATATTCTTAAGGCAAAGTACTTTAGAAAATCACTTAGGTATGTTTTTTCTTCATTAATACTCATACTCAATATTAAAATAAGTGTAGAGTGAAAAGCAAGTCCTTTTGAACAGAGAGCTGATAAAATCTAGTCATTGAAATAATGAACATATTTTGAAATTGAGTATAAGAGACGACTTTTGCTTAGCTCAATTTTTAATTTAAGGCTTTTGATAGGCGTTAACTGCTCAAATGTACATTTACATTGTGAATAGGAGGACTCTGATGTTGGGTGAAACTCGTTGAAACAATCCACAGTGCCTGACGTATAAATGTTAATCAATGAAAACCTTCAACAGCCATAGTCATTCCTGTGCAATTTTTACCATTCGAATAGTCATTTTTAGTAGAGTGTCAAGACTTATTTTTTAATGTTTTTTTGACGCCCGAATCGAAGGGGAATCGCGTTTTTTTAAGAAGACTGTTATTCATTCCATTTTTCCTTGAAGTCCTTTTACTGTGTGAGCAAAAAAGAAACAAAGACCAATCTTCCCAGTTCATCAACTGGAATTAATCGTGCAGTTCGACTTGATTAAGTAATCACCTAATTTAGTTAATCGTGGATTTGTTCCCTGAATGTATATAATAGGTCAAATCTATTACACAAAAAAAAACATATATATTGACTAAGAGTAAGACTTTATATATATAGTGTAAATAGATTTTTTATAATAAATTATTTAAAATCTGTTAGTGCGTCTAGCAAGTAAGGTTTCAGTCAGTCAAGGGCTATTTCGCGGCCATCATAGCTATATTTTCATATAAGCAACGTATTAGTAATTTTAAACTAGTTTTTTGTCATTCCCGTTGCTCTACTGTTTATTATGTGCATTCCAGGACCTGTAAAAGAATCTAATACTCGATTGTGTGAGAATAAGCAACGTAGTAAATAAATACCATTTATTTCGAAAATTTTTGTGTTTTTTGTTGAGACTGCCTACACTTCGGGGCAGCAAGGGCTTCGCCGTTTGAAGAGTTTGAAGAGCACAAGGTTTTTCATTTATAGGAACTTTAATGGCTGATGTTGATTTTTTCAGTCAACTGCGTTCTCGCCTTAAAATATTTCTTCTTAATATCTATCTCTCAAGCTAATGAAAGAAGCAACTTGAAGTTTTGCATCTTTAGAATAAATTTGGCTGGACACATACGGGGAGTTCTATTAAAAGCGCTGATTTTTGCCAGTTTAAAAAATCTTCGCATGAAAATTGATGATTTCAGTCAACTACGCTGGTATTCCTAGTCGTGTTTTTCAAACTAAAGCAAGAGGCAAGTTGATATTTTTACTATTTTTAGAGGACACCCGACTACAAATGCTGAAGGCTTTATAAAAATCTCTCAACAACCTGATTTTTACCATTTAAGTAAATATCGGTCCCAAAATGTGTGTTGCCCAACTGCACTCTCTACCTACTTTAAAAATTTGCAAGTTCTGAAGTAAACCACGCAGCAATTCGAAATTTTTACCATCTTGAGAGACATTTGACACTAAAGATGCTGAAAAAAATTTGTAATATCAAAAAGTTTTGTAAAAATCGGACAAAATCAGTTTTGCCAGTTTGGTCAATCTAAGTCAAAATTACTGTTTTCAGTCAAATGCGTTCTTGTGTTTAAAAAATGGCATCTCCTAAACTGAAGCAAGGAAAACCATGGAATTTTCAACGTCTTTAGAAAACACTCGGATCTAAAAGTGCGGAAAATTTCAGAAGAATCGTACAAAATACTGTATCTTTCCAGCTTATTAAACGTGAGTCAACATTACTGTTTGCAGTTACCTACGTTTTGTCTCGAAAAATATTATCTTCCCAACCAAGTCAAGAAGCAATCAGAAGTTTTCACCATCTTGAGCAGACATGTCCAAAACACAATTTTGTAAAACTCGCCCAAAAACCTGAGTTTTGCAACTTTTGAGTTTTAAAATTAATGTTTTCAGTCAAATGCGGTTTTATTTTAAAAAATCGAGTCTTCGAAACCAAAGCAGTGAGAACCAAGAATCGTTCACCGCTGTTTAGAAGACGCTTGGATCTCAAGGTGAGAAAAATTTCAGAAGAATCGTACAAAATGCTGATTTTTTTCATCTTGTTAAATGTGTCTCAAAATTACTGCTTCCCGTCAGATGCGGTAACAAAATCGCATCTTCCAAACTAAACACCAGCTAAGGAGAACCTTAAAATTTTCAGTTTTTACAAGACACTCGGGTCTGAAGATGCAAAAAATTTCATAATAATTGTACAAAATCCTGTTTCTTTCCAGCTTATTAAACGGGAGTCTCAGCATTACTGTTAACTACGTTTTCTATTGAAAAAATCTTATCTTCCCAACCAAGTCAAGAAGCAATCAAAAGTTTTCACCATCTTGAGAAGACATTTCAACAATAACATTTTGTAAAACTCGCACAAAATCCTCATTTTTGCAACTTTTGAGTCTTAAATTAATGTTTTCAGTCAAATGCGGTTTTATTTTAAAAAATCGAGTCTTCGAAATCAAAGCAATGAGAACCAAGAAATGTTCACCGTTTTTTAGAAGACGCTTGGATCTCAAGGTGAGAAAAATTTCAGAAGAATCGTATCATGAATATTTTCAGCTCGTTAAAAGTGTGTCTCAAAATTACTGTCTTCACTCAGCTGCGGTTATGCTGTAAAAAAACTCGTACGTATCTTCCAAATTAAAGCAAAAAGAACGTCCAAATTTGAAGTCTTTAGAATATACTCGGATCTCAAGAAGAAGTCCTGTTTTTTTTCAGCTTGTTAAACGTGAGTCTCAAAATTACTGTTTTCAGGCAAATGCAATCTTGTCTTAAAAAAATCTTCTAAACTAAAGCAAGGGGAGCCTTGAAACTTTCACCAGTTTGAGAAGACAGTTCGGATCTCAAGGTGCAGAAAATTTCAGAACCGTGGAAGATCTAATTTTTTTCCAATATCATGGCGCTATATTTTTTCAATATTGCAAAAAATATTCACTAAAGCTTCAAAATACTATTTTATAAATTTAGACTTAAAAGCGTTTATTTCGTTCACTAGGACAGGACAGGAATTAGACAAAAAAGCATTCGCCAATAAGTGATTTCGTCTATTTTACGAATTCTTGCAGTGAAAAACTTCACTTTGGTAATTTTTTGGCAAACTAATGCCGACCACGGGTTTAAAAATAGGTGAGCAATCACATTTTTCGATTGGACTAAACACACAAAAACATTAAGCTTATTTGTTCGACTGATGGAATCGGGAATGTTTGCGGGGGTAACGTTACTTTACTCAGCTCTCTTCAAAGGAAAATTTCATACAATGCAATTCGCGTTGAAAAATCAATTGCAAACGCTCATCTAGTTGGACGTTTCGTCGATCGATGAGATAGCAGGTCTTGTTGAAATGTGTACTATCTGCAGGAGATTAATCAATCATTCGCTGAGCATTTTCTAGTTCAGTTACGCAATGGCTTTGCAAAAAAGCACTTACTTTTGGTTGAATAGCTGATCTCATCATGAAAATGAATATCAAACCAAGTGTACAGGCCGTTGACTTGGCCCGTTTTGGTAACCTGCAGGCTTACTACAGTCTTTTCCGCGTTAATCGTGTCGTTGACAGTGAAGCTGATCGGATTTGAATGTTCCGTGTAGATGAAGCTCGAGTCCAAACACGGGTGTTCACGGGTCTAAAATTGCCCCAGATTGGCTAGTTTAGTGTCCCTCAGTCCCCACTAGCCCTTACCGAGTATTCGTTCATAATTTGGGCAATTTTGAAGTTGAACACGTTCTCGTCGTGGACCACATTGCTCGTTTGCAGAAACTCTGAGTAAATCAGCACTACGTTTACAACAAGTTTAACTGGCAGGATGAGACAATCGGGGAACTTAACGCTTAGCATCCCCTAAAATCCGGTTTAAAAAAAATTGTTCATAAATCAATTCCAATGGGGTGTTACCTTTGTAACCGCTGGGATGGAAAGTCCACCGTCGATGGAGACTGTGTCTCTTAAGAAGACCTTGCAATTGTGTAATTTCGTGGAACAGGTCAATAAGTCGATATCAGGTTCAAAGATAATCGCTAGAAAACATCCGTATTAGCAGGAAGCCGCTGGAATTAAGCTCGTTCTCACTTGCCAGGTCCATTTGCGACCAATGCCTATTATTAACAGCCAAAATGTGGACAATGAAGTTAATATAGAGATCGCTGCGGTAATCCCGCTCGGTGAAAAACTGCCATCCCATATTGACGGCCAACATCAGACCAAAAATGGAAACTGTCATCGTATCCATCACCTAAAAACCAAAAAATCAGTTATCATTTATTAGCAAAGTGGGAAAAGTTTCTATTTCCGGTCATCTTCAGGCAATTGTCAAAAAACGTTCAAAGTTGCATTTGCAGTAAAACTCCAAACTTTGTTTGCATACCATTTATAGGGCAAATTCCATCATTAGGCAATTTTCAGGAATTTTTCCAAATTGGCGTGTGGTTTTCGTGGCGGTTTTTGCGTGCCGGAGTTCAGTATTTACTTTCTCTGTGACAAAGTCAATTTTGGATGAGTTTTGTTGGCAAAAGTCCTTTTTATGAGTTGGCAAAGTTTCGATCTGTAGACATTTTTGACAAATTTTCAAAATTGCGTTTAGTTTACGTGATTGTTTCAACTGGCAATTTCTGAGGGTGGTTTTTGTATGCATTTTATAGAGCAAACATTGCTTCATAAGTGATAAAAGTTTTGCTTATCATCAGGTAATTTTCAAGAATTTTTCAAAATCAAAAATGGCGCAAAATGCAAACATTTTGCACGTCGGAGTTTCGCATTTATTTTCTCTGTAACTTCGGAAGTCAGAAAGTCCATTTCGGTTGCATTTTATAGGACAAAAAATAGTCATTTATAAGTGGAAAAAGTTTCGATTTTCTCTGATCTGGGTTTTGTGGTGGTTTTTGCATTTATTTGCTTTCCAATTTTTGAATTGAGACAGTCAATTTTAGATGCCTTCCTTTGGGCAAAGTCTTCTTCTGGGAAAATAGTCAATTTAGGGGCATCATCAGGCACTATTTGACAAATTTTCAAAATTGCGCTCGGTTTGCGAAATTGTTTTTGTAGGTCGAAGTTCGTCATTTATTTGTTCATATTGTAACGCAATGTCTGTTTTATAAGTGACAAGAGTTTCGATTTTCACTTTTGTATAATTTTTATACCTAGGGCCAAGTCTGTTCTACAAGCATCAAAACTTTCGGTTTTCCGTTATCATCCGCCAAATTTCAAGAATTGTTCTAATTTTGATATGGTTTTCGCGGATATTTAACCAGGTCGAAGTTTCAGCTTTATTTGCTCAGAAACTTGCAAGGTGAGAGAGTAACTTTTATATCACATTTGTAGAGCGATTTTAAGCCATTGTCAATTTTTGTGAATTTTTAAAACTTGCGAACACATTTTATGGTTCCTCATGCTAATCAAAATTTTAGCATTTATTTTCTCTGAAACCAGAGAAGCTGCAGATTGACGTTTGGCTGCATTTTGTAGGGTAAAGTATACTTTATACCGGGTGTCAATTTGAAAACTTCCCACCCTTAATACCTTTCTTGCAGTTGAAAGTATAAAAAATCGGAAAGACGCGACAATTTTGTAATACAAATGATTAGCAGAGTAAGTAACAGGAAGAAAATCTAGTTTAAACAATTGATTTAGGATTTATTGATTATTTTACTTCGAGAAAAATCACTTTCTATTTACGAGAGAAATTTCTACAATAAAACCCATGGGATCTTCTTACGCACTATCTTATAAGTTGTTGCTGTAATCCTGTAAACAATAATAAAGCCTATTTTCGAACCCTCCACAACATGGATAAGATATTCCCGGATAGATCGATTGGCAGAAGGGCCTCCAAGATCAATTGAATTTCAAGATTAGACTTCTTTCTTTGGGGACATCAAGTCCATTGTTTATAAAGCACAACCTGCTGATATTGATGATCTTAAAAGGCGAATTGCAGCAGAATGCCGGTCAATTCCCGGTGAAGTTTCCCGAAATGAAGAGAGGAGTTCGAAAACACGCACTTTATTATGGACAATATTTTGAACAACTTATAATGCGTGCGTAAGTAGATGACATAAGTTTGATTGTAAAAATTTCTCTTCAGCAAATAAAAATTTATTTTTGTCGATGTAAAATAATCAATAAATAAAAAATAAGATCAAAATCAAAAATAAGAAATCAATGTTTTTTTGAAACTAGATTTTCTTCCTGTTATTCAACGATTTTAACAGTGTAACCTACTCTTCTAATGATTTGTATTACAAGGACACACACTCAATAAAACTAACTAGTTTTTATATATATTCAAAGTTTTTGTATAAACACTAACCTGAAAACCAATATCTGAATGCACGCCCTAAAATGTGTGAAAGTTTCGATTCGCTGCGGGATTTTTTAGGAATTTTTAAAGTTTGCGGATTTTTAATTTCATTACGTGCGGATGCGATGGGCCATTGAAAAATTAATTGCGTCTCAACCAGAAAAACTGAAAATGTCTGGTTTTTTGCGTTAAAAGCAGAAGAGTCGGCCCTACAATGTGTGAAAGTTTCGATTCGCTGACATCATCAGAAATTAAAATTTTTTAAAGTTTGCGGATTTTCACTTACATTACGCGCGGATGCAATAGGCCATTGAAAAATTAATTGTGTTTCAACTAGCAAAACTGAAAATTTCGGTTTTTTTGCGTTAAAAGCAGAAGAGTCGGACCTACAATGTGTGAAAGTTTCGATTCGCTTCCAATGTCAGGGATTTTTTACCGAATTTTTAAAGTTTGCAGATTTTCACTTCCATTACGCGCCATCCGATTCGCTACCAACATCATTGATTTTTTGAGGAATTTTTAAATTTTGCAGATTTTCACTTCCATTACGCGCAGATGCGATCGGCCATTAAAAATTAATTGCGTCCCAATCAGACAAGCTGTAAATTTCGTGTGTTTTGCGTCGAAAGCCGAAGAGTCTAGAGGGGCTAAAATTGTCTCTGAACAAAAAGGAACAAAGTAATAACTAACGTAACGAGAATTGAACGCCCTTTAAAAAGATGTGCCACTTGACCCCTAGGGGTGGCATCTACCCGTCCTAATGGGTTAAAACAAGGAAGCTGAAAATATTAATTTAAAGTGTCTCCCTTACAAATAAAATTGAAGGGTCGTTCCGATTTTTCATATTTTCAACTGCAATAAAGATATTCAGGGTGGCCATTTTCTGAATCTTTGTATAGGTATCTTCTACATTTTTAAAGATAGAGAACCCGTTAAATGGGCAAAATTGGGCAGAATTCGATTGCCTATTCATTACCGTTTTCAAAATTTAGGTACCCGACTTGGTTCCTGAAATATCATAAAAAGGCAAGAAATCAACACTTTTTTAATTATCATATAATTCGTAAACTGCTTAAATTAGAAAAAAAGTTAAACTGTTCTTTGGTAGAACTTTTTGCGTTGAATTCAATAAACTAGCACTCGTTGTCACAGTCAACTTGATTTACGAGATAAAAAATAAACTTATGTTTTTTTTAAATGGTAATCATAGTTGGCTGTGGGCCTTTTAAAATCCTTATTTTTTTCGGAATTTATCGATATAACTGTTTGTATGTTTTTCTCCTTTTGTTGGCGTAAAACTTCAAAAAAAGATAAATAAAAATGTGTAGTAGGCTATGGAAACAAGAACTATATTGTTTTCCGGGCTTTGAAGCCCGGAAAACATTCCTAAATGTGATTTAACCGGCCGTGAAAGCCTTCATAGTATGATAACAACTATATTATCACACAATCAAGTTTACTGGACTAACGAATCATCATCTAATTGAAAGTAGGCGAGATCTACGTGTTTTTTTTGTGAATTTCTGCTGAGGCATTTTTAGTGATAAAATTATTGGTCTTTTTTGATCACAATTTAAATATGGAAAGATATTTGCACTTTTTACCAAATGAACTTGAAGACATGTTGAATAGTTTTCCGTTAGCATCGTATCGAAAATTGGCATTTTTCCAACATGATAGTGCACCTTCACACAACTCGTTGACCGAGTTGAATGTGAAGAAGCCAAAAAATGCCTGGACGTAAACGGAAGTCAATTTGAACATTTAATTTAAACGACTCATTATTGTTTTGTGCTTTGTGTGATAATACAGTTTTTGTTTCCATAGCCTACTACACATTTTTTATCTTCTTTGGAAGATTTGCGGCAACAAAAGGAGGAAAACATACAAACATTCATATCGTTAAATTCAGAAAAAAATAAGGATTTTGAAAGACCCACAGCCAACTATGATTACCATTTAAGAAACCATAAGTTTATTTTTTATCTCGTAAATCAAGTTCACTATGATAACGAGTGCTGGTTTATTGGATTCAACGCAAAAAGTTGTACTAAGGGCAGTTTTAACTTTTTGTCTAAGTGAAGCAGTTTACGTAATAAGTGATAATTAAAAAAGTGTTGATTTCTTGTCTTTTCAGGATATTTCAGGAACTAAGTCGGGTACCTAAATTTTGAAAACGGCAATGAATAGGCAATCGAATTCTGCCCATTTAACGGATTCTCTATCTTTAAAAATGTAGAAGTCACGGATACAAAGATTCAGAAAATGGCCACCCTGTATAGCTTTTCAACTTCAAACCGTCGCGAAATTAAGCCGATAATGCTCGGTTGTTTGCGAAACACCGGAAATAAATTCTTCTCCACATCGGCCTAACAGTGCGAAACTAACGAAGCCCACCAGTTTCCTTATCAAAACTTTCAGAAACTAGAAGCAAAAACGTTAGTTTACCTTTACTCCATCCAAATCCACATTGCTGCTGAATTTCGGAGGTATACAGAAAGATTGCTGGCTACTCACCGGTTTAGAAGGATCTTTGAATTGTCGCAGTAAGAGGGGATCCTGGAATTTTTCCGCCAGTTTGACAATTTGAACAACCAAATTGGTATCGTTGAGAAACGTGACTACTTCTTCGGGCACGTAAAGGCAAGATTTGCAGATTGCCTCTGAACGCTCAAGCAACTGGCAGAACTGCACCTTATCCTGATAGACATACACTTGAAATTTCAGTATTTGCCCTTCTTTCACGGCAATGGGGTGCAACAAGTGGCACACTCCCTGTTCCCAGCATTTCGCGCGGTCTTCCCGTCGAGGATCTGTGGTTATCGTTACAAATTCGTCGAGGTCCAACTCAAACCAGATGGCGAATGAAGTCAGAAGCGCATCTTCGAGACAGAGGATCTGGAAAAAATCAGTGGTAGCCAAAAGCGTTTGAGGCTGTCAGAGGAAATACGTCTATAGTCTGCACGTAGTTGGCATCATAGATCAAATTGTAGAGGTAGATGGTGTCGTAAAAGTTGATTTGGTACACTTGGACCGGCTCAGACACATAGGTGAATTTTTTCAAAGTTAAATCTTCAGCCTCGTACGGATCAGCGTCCTGTTGCACAATGCACATTTTGTCTAACCCAAGCACAGGCACTTTGCTCTCTACTCTAACGCTCTGTGAGTCTTTATAGCTGATTGCTGCCACATACAACTTGGCCCCGCAAGGGATGATTCTGAAATTCTGCTTGTCAGTGATTAGGGTGTTGTGGGCATGCAGGAGAGTTTTCAGCATTCCTTCTCCGAACAATGCACAGTCAAATACTTCGGCAACCTGTAAACGAATGGAACTAAACCATAAAAAAGGCAAAAGAGGACCGACTTAAAATTACCAAAAGGTTGCAACGCGATGGCGCTTGGGTCAACGTGGTCGAATAAACATTCATCACTGTCACATTCTCTCGCCCGTTCTCCTTCATAATACGCTCGCACATTTGAGCCAGCACTTTATTCTCTTCGATGGCAGTCACGTGAACGTGTGGATTCTCTGAAGCCACGAGAGAGAGAAGGCCGCAACCCGCGCCTACATCCACCACATGCGTAAACCCTGCAAAACAGGCCTGAAAACTAGTGGCGGCTCTCTAATGGGGGTCCAAATGATTCTGTACCTTGACTGACAGCTCTTCTAATCGCTTTGCAATATGAGGAATTCCGAATTACATCATTCAGCATCCTGAAATGCCAACGGGGAAATTGGGACCATTTGCAAAGCATCAGGTTGTTGTCAGCTCGAAGGGACCTTTTGCAAGCGACAGCCTTTTCCAGATAAGGCCTTGCTATATCCGGCAGATTCATTCTAACGAAATATACAATTATTAACTTTGGTCATCTTTGCTATCAACAATTTTGGACGAGAGTACAAGACAACTTCATAAACAAAGGTTAGACCAGAATTTCCCAAACTTTTTCGATAATGGAACACTGCAAACCCAGAAATTTGAACGGAACCCTTCGTTTATTTTTAAAATTTGCCCAAGCAAATGTATTTGCAAACCACTAGTTCAAGTTCAGCGGAACACTGGCGTTCCGCTGGACCTGAACTTCGAAACGCCGTAACATTCGACCAACTTACTTGAGCAAGTGTTCGCCTAATTTATTGAGAATTATTTGGTCGCAGGGAAATAAATTGAGCGCTTGCACGTAGAGTTTTAACAGCTCCTCGCTTTCGTTGCATTTTTCTAAAGCAGCAGCTAATGAAACTACTGTCTGCTTGAACTGTTGTTGGACTTTTATTGCACTGGTCGACGGATCCTCCAGATTTTCCAAATACTTCACAAAGCACTTGTAGGCGTTGGGAACGTCTCGCTCTTCACAACTTTTCTGTGCTATTTGTAAGTACCTGGAACTCGTCAGTTTATTGCGTTCGTCGATCACTTGCGAGAGGTTTTTTGGCACTCGGTCATCACTTCCACCTGCACCATCCTTCTTCAATGGTGCACTCATACTGTGTAGCATGTGCTCCCGACCGCGTCTTTCTATGGTTTAATGGCAAAATTCAGTTTTCGGGGGCCTTATGCCGCCCCTACTATCAATTAGGTTAAATTTCTTATGACAACCAAAAAATAAGGTTACTTTTCAACTGTCGTTCAGAGACAAGTCTTGTCTCTGTCATAGATAAAGACAAGTGTCTCTGTGTCGTTTTTTTGCTTTAAAACCAGTGTCGTGCAACAAGTACATTAGAGTTTATTGCATGATACAATGAATACAAGGTAGGATCTTGCGTCGATTTTCGTGACGTCAGTGGAAATCACTGCCTGGCGTGCATTTTTCCTGTTTGCTAAATGTGATTAAATATAGCTTATTTAGTCTTTGTCACATTTAATTATTTTTTTATAAATCTTCCTTATAATTACAAGATGCTTCGCAGCAGATTTTACATTTCAAAATTAAAAGTAACGAAAATGTATTTATTTTGCAGACTAGCACAGTTGCCAGTTGTGCAATAAAGTATAGCGTTAGCTGAAAATGTTTCCTTGCAGAAATAGTACATTACGATTCAGGAGACGGAAGTCCAAACAATGACCCAATGTTACTTTCCTATTATTTACGACGGAATATGCGGTTTGTGGTACCGCGGATTATATGTAAATTTTAATACAAATGAAATGACTGCACACCGCATTTTTTATATTTCTGAACCGACACTTAAAAGTAGCAAACAATCTAGAGTACACTTTCCAACTACCAAACGCAAAATGCTCAGTTTTGTCTACAAAATTCTCAAGCATGCCCAATGATACAATGAATTCGTTGTATGATACAATCAATTCATTGTATGAACAGTGCATTCATTCATTGTGATACCATTAATTCATTATTTCGTTTGGCTCAGCCAGATTTGTCAAATGACACTCTGGCAACCCAGCACGCTAAAACGCTGAACATCAGAGATTTTGTAAAGAATTATTTAGGGTATTTATCTTCCGAATAAGCCCAAATCAGGTCCCAAACGCGATTTTCGAAGCATTCGGCTATGCAATGCTGCAAACCATATCCTCATATAACTTTCCATTTTTGAACTATTGCGTTTTGAATTCAGTGAAAATTTGTCTAGGTTACATGCATTTTAAATGGGATCAGCTGTTCACTTTACCAAAGTGGTAACCAGCCCAACCAAAGTATGTCCAAGTAAATTTTACCATCCGAAAAACGAATGTAGTTGTTGTGCACCTTAGCAATGTATCTTAAGTTTGAATTTCTACAATCGGCTATTTTAATCACTGCTTTCCTCATTTTCCGCCGTTTTTTTGTATACACGCTTGAACCGTTGAACGTTTGCCCTGCAGCAGTCTTTATCTATGCCCTGCAGTCCATAGATAAAGACAAGCTGCAGTCGCCACAAAATATCACCCCTTATGTTATGTGGCAGTCGCCATTAAAAAGAAATTGACAGTTCCTTTGCTTGCCAAGGGGCCAAGGGAATCTAACCATAGATAAAGACCAAAGACAAGTCTTGTCTCTGATAAAGACTAGTGAATCTAACCTCAGATTTTTGGGTGTTTGGTCAACTTTTTGATTTGGTATCCTCGCTCAAAACCCCTGAAACAGGCATGAAAATGCAAGGCAGCGTGGACCGATTGCAAGGAAGCAAGAAAAACACCAGCGAGCCCACGTTTGTGAAGGATTTCAGCGAGTATGGACAGATTTTACATATTCACGTCTCGCCCTTCGAGTGGAGCAAAGACATTATGCTGCTGGCTTTTAGTAGCCGAATCCTGTTCGCCCGGGTCTCCTTTCAGGTGAGTCCCGTAGTGAAGTGACTGAGTGAAACCCTAAACAAGATCCTCCCTCTAGGAGGAGTCGGTGAAGGTGCAGCAGCTATTCCAGTTCGAGCACCCCAGCAGGTGCACCGCGCTCAGCTTGGCCCCAAGCACCACTTTGACCGTAATGCCTAATCAGGTGCTTTTTGCCACTGGAGGGATTGACCACCAAATCCGGGTAGTTCAAAGCGACCTACAGCAGGACAATACCTGCGAGGTAAGTGGACAACTCTAGCCCTTGGGGCAGTGAGAAACCGGGCTTCTAGGTGATCAGCGGTCACACCAGCTATATAAACGATATAACCTTCGATCCGGATAATGCCTATCTTGCCTCAGCCAGCGACGACAACACAGTGAAGATCTGGTATACTAAACAGTTCAACTTGAAAACCACATTGAATCTAACTTCCCCTGCCATGGTGGTTGCCTGGCACAGAGGCGACCCTGGCAAGCTGATGGTGGCCGAAAAAATCGGTTAGTTTCTCAAATTTTTAACCAATGCATTCGCAACTAATCGGCTGCTGATAAGGGTTGGTCAAGTTCTACAATGTGGAAACCGAGACCCCGATTCTCTCGCTGGACTTTGCCAGGTCACTGTCGTTTGCCCACTGGGCCCCTTCAGAGAGTCAAATCCTGGGCACCTTGCAGTTGGGGGAGCTGCTTTTATGGGACCTCACTAAGCCTTGGTAAGTTCTTCACCTAAAAAGACTCTTTGAACCAAGTGATTTAATTTCTACTGATGTTTGCAGTTTGCCCCAACAAAGCGCCATTCTATTTCCGGAAAATGGGGGCACAATGAAGTTCTCGCCACAGGGAGAGCTGCTGGCTGCCGTCAACAGTCTGGATGGTTCCCTGAAAGTCCTGCACACAACCACTCAGTGCTTGAAGCTGAATGTTAGCGTCACATTGCCTACAAATGTGCAATGGCACTTCCACTATCCTCTAGTGTGCATTGGCGACGACACTAAGCTCTGTTTTTGGAAAATCAGCGCCTTTTAATCAATAAATTGTTGAAGAATTTTTTAGTCTCTTCGAACCAGCCATTGCCTCGTCCAAAGCCAATCATCCACATCAAAAACTCGTTCCTTTCTCTCTTTCTGAACTGAGCAAATGAGGGGTACAGACAAACGGTACGATAACAGGTAAAAAGGAAATGGTGGGAGTTGAACGTTCACCTGAGCAAGGCAGACCGACATCGGAATTGAACATTTTATATGGACGATTTGCTAGTCAGTGGTACCCCGTGCATTGGCGACGTTTTTCCTGTGAATCGTGCGTGATTTGGAGTTTTTCGTTATTATACTTATTTAGTTTATCAGTTGTTGCATTGTGACGTCTCGTCGTTGGTGCAGATATCGGGTACCCAAAGCTGGAACTTGTTATTGATTGTTATCGCAATTATGTAAGTAATTGGCTTAATTATCGACTGGATGTTGTTGTTTTGGTGCTGCTCAGCTGGGGGGCACCTACAGAATTTTAGCTAAATCCTGCCCTCAAAAATTAATTGAAATAACGAAACAAACAATTCTTCCTAATAATCTCCCATATCTTCGTAATATTTGCTTAATTACGAAGCAATTAAGTGATATTTCCATACATTTATTATAGGGGGGCTTTGCCTAATATTGTTATTAACCCGCCAAATAGCTTTATTGCTTAACGAAAGCAAATAGCTTTTGTGTATGGATTCGTTCTATTTAATTGAAAGTATTTAGCCAGTCGTTATGTAAAAGTGTTTGTTGGGGGCTTTTAAATGCACTTTCTTTTATGTTAAGGCGCGTTGTTTAATTGTCTGTGGTTGTGAGAAATTTGCCTATCAAATGCTCGAATCTTCCATCCGCAATCCTGCAGAGATTCGAAGCCTGTTAGGCCATTGGTGCCCATTGCCGTTACATGTTATGGCGAATTTTTCGAATTCCTATGCAAATCGCGCGCTGCATGCCGCAATTCTCGTACTCGCGGGACATTTTTGCCAAGAAAGCGATATTTAACGTGCTTTTTTCCAACACAGCGCCCTTTTGCCATCTGGTACCTACATGCATGGTTGAACCACTTTAAGGGGTTCCCAGCAAGGCGATTTCCGGCCACCTGCCTTCCTTTGTTGACTCTTCATATTAATTCAAGCTTAGGATTTATATGAGGGCAAAAGGGCACACTATTCTAGAATGCAGTTATTGAAAGCCATCTAAGCCAATGAACTTCAACAATTGTTTTGCTGTGTTATTGGCCATTCTTCCATTCAACCAGAACCATACCATTAGGATCAAGTGAACGATGGCTTCGTTTTAACGGTTACTTTGGCCGGTAAATACACACTACAAAGGGAAGTGTTAATTTGCCCATGTTTTTGTCCGTATTATTTTGAAGAATTGCCTCTTTTTTTGCTCGGTTTATCCATTCATAGCGCTAACAGTATTAGTGTGAGAAAAACGGTTTGTCATGTCGGCTTTGATGCAATTAAACGCAAACATTAATAACAAATATCGGGGTCAGGCAATAAATAAATTAAAGCGAGACAGATTTGGTGCGAACAACTCGGCCATCTACAGGGCGAGATTCTTCTAGATGTCAAGCAGAAGGCGAAACAAGTGGTCTCGATAAAAAAATGGGGCAGTTTCGATTTTAAGTGAACATTTTCGGACTTGTAGCGTCGTTTTTGATCTATAAAACGGTGCAAGGGAAAATCGTCTACGAGTTTTCGTTTTCCAGTTACGATTTTTTTAAAGTAACCGTGTGTGTCCCGCATGTGTCAAAATGCGCCAAGTTTCAAGGTATCATTGAAAATTGTAGATATTTGGAGTCTAAATGAACTTGAAGAGTGTTTTCTGCTCTATAAAGCAAGGAAAAATTCACTAGGAGTTTTCGTCTTGGAGGTCTGATTTTTTGAAGAAAACCGTGTTTGTACGGCAGATTTTAAAATGAGCTAAGTTTCACAGTTTCGGTAAAAATTTAAAAAATTAGAAGTGCAAACGAAAATTGTAGGACTTATAGGGTCTTTTCTGCTCTATGAAACAGCATAAGGCGTAATTGTCTAGGAGTTTCTGTTTTCTAGTTATGTTTATTTGAAGGTAACCGTGTTTGTCCCGCATATGTTAAAATGAGCCAAGTTTCAAGGTATCACTAAAAATTGGAGATTTTAAGATTCTAAATGAAACTTTCCTACCTTGAAGAGTGTTTTCTGCTCTATCAAGCAGCGCAAGGGGAAATTCACTAGGAGTTTTCGTCTTGGAGGTATGATTTTTTGAAGAAAACCGTGTTTGTACGGCACATTTTAAAATAAGCTGTTTCACAGTTTCGGTCAAATTTAAAAAATTAGGAGTGCAAAAAAAAATTGTAGGACTTATAGGGTCTTTTCTGCTCTATGAAACAGCATAAGGTGTAATTGTCTAGGAGTTTTCGTTGTCTAATTATGCTTTGCACTTTAAAGCAAAATTGGGAATGTTTGGTAGAATAGACTTTGGGGTTTGGGGTGGTTCAGTCTTGCAATTTCCGCCATTTCACGCATTATTGCCATAACCATCCTGTACATTTTCGTCGTCCTTTCGTTGACTAAAAATGGAACTCTCCGGTTTTTGGAGTCACGGCAACATGAGGCCATTGTCTTCGGCTTCATCGGCCTCTTGAGAAATAACGTGGCCGTTCTGCATCGAAACTCGATCGGAGATATGGCAAAAAACCGGGTAATTAGTCAATTTATCGGTCGAAAGCGATCAGCCGTGGTGGTACGTGTACGAGCGTAGAAAAAATAGTCTGCCAAATCGGGTTCGGGTTCCGAAAAGTTGCGTACTTACATTTGAAATGACCCCCACCCACTGAATCATCAAAATCACGATGTTTGCATACTAATAATGTGGATTTCCCAAATTTGCAGTTTGCTTATTGGTCTGGCAAGCCTACACTGTCCAAGTGGACAAAGACGTGTGGTGTGGCCTCAGCATCATCACTTAAACTTAAAAATGCCTGAGTCATTTTCTCCAATTTATCCCGCAATTGTTTACTTTTACAGTTCAGACAGTGTCGTGCCCGAAAGGCTGGGCACAAACGGATTAGAGAGTTTTTGATAGCAAAGCCATTTTTTGATATCGTGAAATTGAGCTCATTTTAACATTTAACAAATCATAACTCTAAAACGACGAAAAATACTCTTTCGCCGTTTTATGCAGCGTGAAAGTCTCTAGAACTTCAAAAATTTTGTCTTGAATGCTAATTGGTCCAACTCTTACCAACATTTTAAAACTTGGGTTGTTTCTACATCTGCCTGTCCAACATGATTATCTTTAAAAAATCATAACTACAAGACGACAATTCCCAAACAATTTCTCTTTGTCAGACTATGAAGGCTTTCACGGCCGGTTAAATCACATTTAGGAATGCTTTCCGGGCTTTGAAGCCGTGGTCTATGGGAATTTCTTCCTGACGTTTCGTCCACAACTGCGGTGGACATTATCAAAGGCGATGAGGCAGTGGGCGAAGTGATCTCCCGTGCTTTCCGACTAAGACTGGAAGAAGACTAAACGTCAGGAAGAAATTCCCATAGACCACGGCTTCAAAGCCCGGAAAACATTCCTAAATGTGAATTTCTCTGAAAGTTCCACTGGCCATTCAACGATTCACAATTTTTTAGACCATCTTGAAACTTAGTTCATTTTAATATCAACGGAATAAACATGGCTTTTTCTATAAAATCATGACGCAAAGGTGAAAAATCCTAGACCATTTTTCTTTGCGCCGTTTTATAGAGTTCAAAGGTCTCTACAACTTTGTAAATCTGTTCTTCAAATCCTAATTGTTCCAATTTTTGCAAAATTTTCAAATTTGATTCAATTTCAACATCTGCCTGACAAACACGGTTTTCCTTAAATTAAATTAAATCCTAAGCCGTGAAAGAAAATGTCTAATCTAATACGCGGTACGTCGTTGTATCGAGCATACAAGACCCTACCAGTCCTGAAATGTTCACTTTCAGGTCTAATGTTTCCAATTTTTAACGATTTTGAAACTTGACCCAATTCAGCATCTGCGTAATAAACACGGCTTTCTTTAAAAAATCATAGTTCGAAAACAGAAATTCCTAGGCAATTGCGGCTTACGCCGTTTTATAGAGCATACAATACTAAAAAGTCCACAAACTTTTAAATTTGCTGCAAATTTTTTTAGAAACTTGGCTTTTGTCTGACCATCACGGTTTCATTAAAAAAGCAATCGCAAAATCTCCTACCCAATTTTTCCTTGCGCTGTTTTATGGAGCAGGAAAGACGCTCCAAGTTGAAAAAGTTGCACTTAGAATGCAAAATTCCTCAATTTCTAATGGTGCGTCCAGACCAGACGAGCCGAGCCTAAGATGTGGCAAATTTCGGTTCGTCTGATCTGGACGCACCATTAGAAATTGAGGAATTTCGCATTCTAAGTGCAACTTTTTCAACTATTTCCTCGGCAAATTTACGACTATCGAGGAATTTCTAATGAGTGTAACAGTAAGAGTAACAGCCTGAAATGTTTTGCATTGTTTTTCCATTCAAGCATAGAAAGGTATTTTGCATACATGTAAATCCGTGTCGGTCAACTATCTCCTTCGCAAGCAAACTGGCTGAGATCGATAAATGTCCTGCAAAACCACCTTGGCATTAAAAACCTTCTCTAGGTGGCTTTGAAGGCCAAGGCATTTACAGTTCAATCAACAGCATTGGTGCAAACAAACGAAATCGCCCCAGAAACGCGCCCTGTTATTGGCCCTCAGAACGCGTGCCTCTGAAACACGTCCGTTGCACCATGGATCTATCTAAACTAGAGACGCGTTGAAGAATGCTCGCGTGCTAGTGGGTGGAGAATCGTGAGATCATTACCAAAGCCGATGAAAAGAAAGTACGCCACGGTAAAATTTATGGTACTGTTTGCATGTACACCTTGAGATTGTTCCCATGGCCGTTAAGCAAATTTATTCTAAGCGCAGGTGGATGGGAATCGCGATATTAATTGCCACATTGGCCCGTTCGAAGAAGCTGAGCACTTTTTTGGAAAGAATGCCTCCAAATGAACAGAGAACGTTCGCGCCAAATCAATTTCCTTTCTACATTGGACTGCAAGTAGGCAAAAAATCCGATTTGCCAATTTCACTGTTTATGGGGTCGTGCGTGATTTGAAACCAAAACCGTGCATTTACATGACCGGTTAAATCCAACCATGACTGAAGAAACCACATGGACAACAGCCGAAGAAAAAATTCAGACGGTTTTTGTCTGTATCAGCTTTCTAGTTGAGGTGTTGCAATTCTAATCAATCATTTGATCATTAATCACTGAAGACATATCCAATGCTGAAAGTCTGGAGTTATCAGTTCTGTTATATACTTATTATGCAGTTATCGTGCAACCAGATCCAACGGGTTTAGCTGGCAAATTTAAGCCCCAAAACGCTTAGTTTGCACTTGGATTATGTTCTATTATGGCAAAACAATGCTAATATCAGTGGTGTTTTATCCGTATCGAATGAGCTTTTTGTCTCACTGTAAAAATGGATTGTTTTTTCAAATGGAAGGAGGTTCTATGACTGTTAACATTGATCAGACATTGTTTAAAAGCCCTTTTTTGGGTGCCTTCTTGCCACTCTTTGCTTGCCCTGAGAATTCAAATCTTTCAAATGGAAGACGATTTGATTGATGAATTTGTTAAAAAGCATCGTTTTCAGCAGTTATTTGTGTTGTTTCAGTTGTTAACTTAATTTAAACGTTTTTTTCTGATCAGATGCAAATTGCTGGAGATTTGGACACTGTTGCGTTTGGAAGAGCAAATCCTGTCCTGTAATTCGTACCAAGTTTCACCTTGACACCATCATCAGGCATTTTTTGACGAATCTATGAATGTGGGCGCCTCTTTTTGCAAACGTCCTTTAGACAATTTATTCATTTTACACAAGCTGTGTAATTTTGGGGTTTTTGAACTGGAAAGCACAAAGGATTTGTTGAAAATATGTACATTTTTCACGTCAAATCATCATCATCAATGGAGGGCGTTTTTGAGAAATTTATGAAAGTGCAGGCCTTTTTCAGCAGTAATTTTGGGAACGTCCTTTAAACAAACAATGAATTTCTACGGTATGACGCGAGCTGGAAATTTGGGTGTTTTTGCATTGAGACGCACAAAGAACGTCTTTGAAATCCTCCAAATTTCTTAGGCAAGCCATTATGACGAATTTTTTGAGGAATTTCTGAAACTGTGCTGTAGTTTCAACAGCCACTTTTATGACTTCCTTTAACAATTTATTTCTACAAGATCAAGCGACCTGGAGATTTGAGGTGTTTTGTTTTGGAAAACGCAAAGAACATGTTTGAAATCCTGAAAGTTTTCCCTGCCGTCCTGCCATTATCAGGCAGCATTCATTTGATTAATTTATGAAAGTGGGTGAATTTTCAGCAGCCATTTTGCAAACGCCCTATAAACATTTTATTCTTCCTAGATCAAACTAGCTGGAAATTTGGGAATTTTTACGTTCAAAAGTGCAAAAAATCTCTTTGAAATTGTGAAAGGTTCTCTTTCAACCCATCATCAGGGATTTTCGGAGGAATTTATGGGAAACGGGCTGCAGATTTGTGGTCTTTTGCAGTAAAAAGCGCAAAAACATGCTTAAAGTCCTAAAAGTTTCCCCTACAAGCCATCATCAGAGATTATTTGAGGAATTTATGAATGTGCGCCGCTCTTTCAACAGCTACTTTTGTGGCGTCCTTTAAACAATTTGTTTCTACATGACAGAAAGATCTAGATATTTGACTGTTGTTGCATTTGAAAAAGCAAATTCCGACCCAAAATCCATAAAAGTTTAACTTTGAGGCCATCATCATGCATTTTTTAAATAAGTTTAAAAAATTTTGCGACTCCGCAGCCATTTTGCGAACACATTTAAAAACATTTATTCCTCCTAAACCAAACTGGCTGCAGATTGGTAGTCTTCTGCAGTGAAAAGCGCAAAATACATGCTTAAAGTCCTGAAAGTTTCCCCGGCAAGCTATCATCAGGGATTTTTTGAGGAATGTATGAATGTGCGTCGCACTTTCAACAGCCACTTTTGTGGCGTCCTTTAAACACTTTATTGCTCCATGACAGAAAGATGTAGATATTTGACTGTTGCGGCATTTTAAAGAGCGAATTCCACCCCCAACACTGTAAAAGTTAAATTTTGACGGCACCATCAGGCATTTTTTGATAAATTTATGAAATTGACCCGCTCTTTCAACAGCCACTTTTGAGGCCTTCTTTGAACAATTAATATATTCTAGACATAAAGATCTGTACATTTGGGCGCTATTGTATTTGAAAGAGCGGATTCTGGCCTGTAATCCGTAGAAGTTAAACTTTAGCACCATCAGGGACTTTTTAAAGAATTTATGAACGTGAGTAATTTTTTCCGCAGCCATTTTGCAGGCGCTGTTTAAACAATTTGTTCCTCCCGGATGAAACGAGCTGGCGTTTTGGGGATTGTTGCAAAGAACAAATAATGCCCGGTAAACCCTGACGGTTTTCCCTTTTAGATAGCAGCGGATATAGTTTTTCGCAATTTTTTAAAAGTAATTCCCAAAATTCCTTTCTGCCAGAGCTGGCGGGAATCTAACCAGTTCTCTGAATGTTCGCTTGTTTAGGATTCATTTCGGTACAAATTTGAGGCGAAACAATTGCTCCAACTGATTGTCCATTCAAGTCTTGGCGTGCCCCAAACAAAAGAACGACACATCCGTTCCCAAGCGATATTCTAATGATTTCCTCCTGCAGCCCAAGTTATTACGGCATTCTTTCTTCGTTGATTTACGCCAGTGTGTTGCGACTTTCTCGACATTTTCCATCCATTGTTTTTACTGTTTCAGGGCTCGTTTTTAAGATGAGCTTTCCATCAGCCCTTTTCCATGGAAGATCTACGTTATAGGCCCTTCAGTAACATGCGCCTCAATGCCGACTCAATGGAGAGTCCCGACGAAAACCGTAAGTGAACCTTTATTTTGCAGGAAAAGTGCGCAATATCTGAACAGCCGTAAGTGGTTAAAGCTTGTCTAAGCAGATACTTTTAATCCATATTTGGTGTAAATGATTTGGTAAATAACGAGTTGCGTAAATGTCAGTACGTAACACAGATAACTGGATAACTGTTTGATTTAGCGATTGTAACCCACTTTGTCATCAAGGTGGGCACTTTGCGTCAAGGAATCTGAGCGTTTTCCTCGCAAAAATGAAGATTGATTGACCATAGCGAAGAGCAATTAAGGAAAGTGGTTTTAATCGCTCATTATCGCTTAATAAGTAGGTTTGAAGTCGTTTGCGAAGAAAGCTAAGAAAGAATTACGAAAAAATTGAAAGCGTTTCACTTATTGCGCGACTGTTTTCGCAGCCGAAGCCTTGACCAAGCCATCAAAACAAACGTTCAGCCCACACCAGATGAATCTTCTAACTCTTCAGATCAAACCTTGGATAATTATTAGCATCGATGCGAGTAGGAATGCTGATGTAATGGCGCTTTTGCCCACGTTTTCCCATTTTGTGAAACAGTTTTGCTAATTAGGAAAACGCCAGCGGATGGGTGGRAGCTGTTCAATCAACYGGCCAGATCAATAAGTTGAAGGTTCTTGGACTTTGTGCGGAACGAAAACAACTGCAGGACAGTGAMAAAWTTTTCTCTTCAAAACYTTSAAAGTTGGACAGAGTTTTTGAGGCGCAATTATGCAAAGCTGGGTTTCAAAATTTGTTCCTTCGGAATGAAGAAAGCGGGAAGCTGCAAAGCTATACATCGCATAGTCAACAGCTCGTTTTATATCTGCTGAAAGTTTCAACCGTTGACCATCATCAAGGATTTTTTGAAAACTTTCCAAAGTTGGCTAGATTTTTTGGCGAAAATTTTACAATGGCGTCATCAAATCTTAATTTTTCAGAACAGAAAACAACTAGAAACTTTATACGTATAGTCTGAAACATATTTTGTACCCTCTGTAAGTTTCGCATACTTGCCATCATCAAGGATTTTTACACACATTTTTAAAGCTAACAGACTTTTTTGCAGTAATTCGGTAATCGCTTGTAAAAGCAGTGATTCTGCAAAAGCTTTTTTTAAACCCAATTTCTTGGAAACGAAAATAGTTAGCTGCTGGTATCACATAGTCTGAATCCTATTCTATACCTTTAGAAAGTTTCGAGGATTTTGCCATCATCAAGGATTTTTAAACAATTTTTTAAATTTGGCTTAAGTTTTAGGTAGGCCATTCTGCAAATGTCCATTTGAAGATTAATTGCGCAGAAACTGAAAAACCTAGAAACTTGCAGGATTTTGCATTTTACAGCGCCAAAATCTTGCTTTACAATTCTAAAAAGTTGCGAATGTTCACCATTATCAAGCAGTTTTGGTCAAATTTTCAAACTTGTCCAGATTTTTTAGCGGCAATTTGGCAAAGCTAAGCTTCAGAAATGAATTTCCCTCAAACGAAAAACACTAGAAGCCTTTGCGATTTTTGCACCCGACAGCCAAACAAATGTTTTATAATCGCCAAAAGTTTCGACTGGCTGTCGTCATCAGGCATTTTTATAGAAATAATCAAACTGTGCAAATCCCTCCTTAGACAATTGATTTTTTTTGTCATTAAATAAAAATAGAATTAAATAAACATCAAAGCATTGTTCAGCTGTTTGTGATATTTAATCCTTGAACAAACCTCTAGATAGAAATGGACTGCACACATTGGACATGATGAGATCATCATCGGGCTTAACCATGTCAATTCTATTTATTTTCCACATGTGTTTCTGCGTAATTATCGATGTGTTTGGTTGATTAGACAACCTTATCATCTACATTAACATATAAGGAAACGATAAGTTCGTATCAGTATTTTTCGCCAGATTAGCTTGATTTCCCTTTTGTTCAAGTGCTAGTTCAGGATGAAAAACACGCGATTTTTCCAAGGTTTGTTTACTTGAACTGGATGCTATAGCTGGTGCTCGATAGTGGTCAAGTCAATTCAAGTTATTTTCCTGTTTGAATTTGTCGATAAAAAAAAAGGAAAAACGATCGTCCGGCCGATGCAGGCTGCATGCGAAGACGCTCAACAGGAAAGACACCATAGTCATTTAATGCGGCGAGAAAATTATGGTTAAATTATGCAAACTGTTTTGTCATTGCCAGTGGCTCGAATGCAAATTTATTCAAATAGCAATTATTTGGCGTGCTGTTGAATAATCGGCCAATCGGCCTTGGAGTTGATGATTTTCGTCGGTTTCATCGCATCGATCGGCTCCTTTTCATTGTAACGCCCCTGCAAGGCTTCAGGAAGTCGATTAATCGATCAAAAAGCACCCCTGTGGCCTTTAGGGCTTCATCCCTGCCCGGTTCTAGTCGAAATTGACCGGGGCGGGCAACATTTCTTTTGAATTCAGTGGGCAGGTTTATATAAAAAACTAGGTGATAGGAAATTTTGTAAATAAATTAGGGCTTTGTTTCGGGTCAACTGGCCCCAAAACCAGGCTCCAACTTGTTAGGCTTTGGATTTGCTCACCAACAGGAAATTTCGACCTAGTTGTCTGCAAATGCCGAAAACAGTCGCGTTTAGACAGGAAAACGTGCATTTTTCCATTGAAGACTCGGTGATGGCGATATCAGTTCGTTTTCCAATTAGAAGCCATTGAGAATCGGTCACGAAAACCCCATTAAGACTGGCGATTAGGATAGTTGAGGAAAACATGAGTGAAAGTCTCCAAATCGCCAAGGAAAAGATAGCCGGTAAATTCACCATTAGGAAGTGAAGATTTTGTTATCAGCTCGGGAGTTTCGCGTTAAAATGCTTGAAAAGTCTACTGTTGGAAAATATGAGTGAAAGTGCCGATGATTTGTCCAAATCCGACGAAATCTCCTTAAATCAGGATGCATCCCCAAATCAGGATGAAAACAGTCCGAATTTCACCGACACCTACAACGCCTGGCGTAAGTAGCTGCTGAAAAACCTGCAAAAATCACTTTTCCTGTATAGTTGGTTGTCGCACCTCCAGCAGTAAATTTACATTAACAAATGCGATTAGTTTTTGACCTTTTTGGCTATCGGAGTTTTGATTAATCGACAATTTTCGACCGCCACACATTTGTTGTTCTCCATGTGATTCAGTAGCCGAATCAATGATCAGGCGAAAATGTTCAAAAAATACAAACAAAAGTCGGATGTTAACTTGAATTTGTACCGAACCGCTTTGCAGAACTCCCTAGAAAGTGCCTACAGTAAGTAAAAGGCCAATAAGGCCACCTGAATCACCTGATCTAACATTCATTCACTGATTCAAATTCCTGCTCGAACGCTCGGATTAATGTGTCTTTTTTTTCGGTTTTCTGGTTTTCGTGATGCATCTGAAGCATCCAGATTTTCTTGAAACGGTCCCTAAATACAAGGTGTTCAAATTCATTTAACCTCTTCCATTTCTTATTTAAAACTTAATTTTTTGGAACCGGAAAACGCTAGGAACTTTCTGGCGTTGGGATGGTATATCCTGAAGCCTACTTTATATCTCCTGAAAGTTTCGAATACCTGCCTTCATCAAGCATTTTTTGACGAATTTTTTAAGATGCTTAAGTTTTTGAGAGGCAACTCTGCAAAGGTCTATTCGAAGACTTATTGAGCAGAAACTAAAAAAACCCAGAATTTTGCCCCATTTTGCGTCTTATATCAAAAGTCTACTTTATACCCGTTGCAAGTTTTGAATTTTCGCTATTAACAACGATTTTTAGCAGAATTTTCAGTTGCCTATTTTGTTTGGCGGTAATTTTGGAATTGCTCGCTCAAAACTTAATCTTGCAGAAACGAAAATAGTTAGGATCTTTCTGGTTCGGGTATCGTATAGACTGAAACCTACTTTATATCTCCAGAAAGTTTCGAATGCTTGCCATCATCAGGGGTTTTTTGACGATTTTTAAAAGTTGACCTGAGTTCTTGAGAGGCAACTCTGCAAAGGTGTATTTGGGGATATATTGGACAAAAACAAAAAAAACCTCAAAATTTTACCAGATCTTGCGTCTTATAGCCTAAAGCCTACTTTATAATTTCTGAACGTTTCGAATGTTCGCCATTAAGAACGAGTTTTAGACAAATTTTCAGTTGCCAGATTTTGTTGTGGCACTTCTGCAAGTGCTGGTTTAAAATTTAATTTCTTGGAACCCAAAGCAGTTACAAACATTCTGGCTCTGGTATGGTAGAGTCGGAAACGCATTCCATTTGTATCCGCTGAATTTTTCAAATATTTACCATCATCAGTGATTATTAGTCAATTTTTAAAAATTGGCTTGATTTTTCGGGAGTCAATTCCAAATCTGCAAAGGTCGATTTGAAGATTAATTGCGCAAAAACTAAGCGGCCTAGACGCTTGCCGATTTGAGTTTTACGTTGGTGAAGGCCATGATTTTATAAGTTCTGAAAGTTTCTAATATTTGGCACCTTGAAGAATTTTTAGCGTAATTGTCAACGTCAGGTAAACTTTCGAGCGGAAATTTTGCTAAAGTTCATTGGAAAATTAATGTCTCCGAAACTAACAAACCCAGACCTTTGCCGAATTCTGAATCTTCCAGCCACAATCCTACTTTATAACCCCTGCAAGTTTCGAATCTGCGCCATTATCAATCATTTTTAGATGATTTTTCAAACTCCAGATTTTTATCGGTAACTATCTCTGGCATTGCCACCAAAAAAATTCCTGTTGCATCTGACAGAGGAGGTTAGAGATATCTGTCACTTGTCACATTTCGCCGTCATTACCATGTAAATCCCCCCCGTTTTAATGCCGCTCAGCTACATTCCGAAATATCATTCAAGTTCGCTTCGGACCATTCAAAGTAACATGGACCGTAATGGAGTTGGGGGAAAAACCTGAAAAACTGCCGTTTGTTTCAGATGAAATGCTTGAAACGGAAAACAGAGGCGTGGCCGGACGAGTGGCCGACCTCGAGAGGAAAGTTCTGGAACAAGGCGATGAATTGGTGTGCCTTAAGGTGAGTGCCTATATGGATCGCTCCTGGTAGTGTCAGAAGTTATACAGTCACTGTAGTTCTGGCCTTAATACGGGTCCAGATCAAAAATAAAGCTGTATTAACAACAGTATGTTAATCGGAAAACATGTATGTTGAAAATGGCCCATTTAAGTAAAGTTAGCTGATTTTTTGCGGGAAAATTCAGCAGGCTCATTGGAAAATTAATTTTGCAAACAATGAAAGAGATGGAAAATTTCCGGTTGATGCATCCTATAGCTAAAGGCTTACTTTATCACTTCTATGCGTTTCGACCGTTTGGTACCATCAGGGCCTTTCAGATGTATGTTGAAATTTAAGCATTTTTTTGCGATAATTCTGCAAAGGCTCATTTGGAAATTAATTTCGCAAACATGGAAAGAGCTCGAAATTTTCTAGCTATGTTATTGTATAGTGCAAAGCTCATTCTATAATTTCGTATAATTGCACGTGTGCACCGCCATCAACCGCTTGTAGAGAATTTTTCAAATACGGCTTGATTTTCATAATGAAATTCTGCAAAGGAATATTTAAAAATTAGTTTCTCAGAAACTAAATGGAGTAGAACCTTACTGGACTTTGCATCGTATAGCTAGAAGCGTATTTTGTTACTCGTTATAGTTTGGAATATTTGCCACTATCAAGGATTTTTAGATCAAGTTTCAAAGTTGCCACATGTGTTTGTGTTAATTTTGTACAGGCATATAAAGGCCATTTAAAACTGAATCTCGCGGAAACGAAATGAGTTAGGAAATGTCTCGGCCTAGCATTGTATAGCCAGAGGATCATTTTATGTCTCCAGAAAATTTCGTATATTTGCCATCATCAAGGATTTTTAGACGACTTTTCAAAGTTGGCCTGATTTTTTGGGAGCCTGAGAATTTTGCAAGCGAGCATTTGAAAATTAATTTCTCAAAAACCAAAAGAGGTAGATACTTGCTGCCTGGTATAACGGAAAATACACCTTATGACTGCTGAAAGTTTCAAATGTCTTGCATAGTCAAGGATTTCTGAGGCAATTTTCAACATTTTTCAGCTATTTTGCCGCAATTCTGCACCTGCTCACCTGAAAATAAATTTCTCAGAAACGAAAAGAGGTAAACACTTGCTGATTTTTGCTTCGAATGGTTGAAAGGTTACCTTATAACTGCTGAGAGTTTCGAATGTGCATTTTTGCGAATTGCGTGCAGTTTGGAATTGCATCATCATGGATTTCTGAGGCAATTTTCAAAAATGTCAATTCTGTAAAAACGAAAAGAGGTAAACAGTTGTTGACCTTCGCTTCGAATAGCTGAAGGGTTACCTGTTGAAAGTTTCCAATGTCTTGCATCGTCAAGGATTTGTGGGGCAACTTTCAAAATTTTTCAGCGCTCATTTGAAAATAAATTTCTCAGAAACAAAATACTCTGATCAGGGCATCAAATGGCCTAAAGCGCATTCTAAAGTTTCTCAGAGTTTGGAATGTTTGCCTTCACCAGCTATTTTTAGATGATTTTTTAAAGTCAGTTCAAGTCAGTTAAAGTTAAAGTAAGACCCGAGTGTCTAGAAGCAATTCTGCAAAGGTTCGTTTGAAAGTTATTTTCTCAGAAATGGAAGATGAGAGAACCGAGCTGGATTTTTCATCTGTTAGCCAAATCGTATTTTAAAACCGTTGAAAGTTTCGACAGCTCACCGCCCTCAAGAAAATTGAAACAGATTTTCAAAATTAAACGTTTTTTTCTTCGATCGGCAAAACTGCGTTCTTTGATAGTTGAAAGTTTCGACTGGCTACCATCATCAATCTTTTCCCAACCAAGTCCAATCTATCATCCTGAAACCGGTAGAAGCCAAACTTAAAAATTTTGAAAGATTTAGCGCGATTTGGCTCTTCAATGGTTCATTTGGTCTTCTTTAATGTCTGATAAAGGTGATTTAATACAACATTTCAGCATGTTGGAAGCTTCCAAAGCTTAAAATCCTCACTCAAGGTAGAACGGGAGACGCCCGATCAGAAAGGTCCTATTCAGTTTTTATGTAGATGCAACCGTTTTCCGGATATAAGCCTCCAAACTTCAGCCTCTTTATGCTGCTGCTTTAAGCTGTAGACTTTAAACTGAGCCAGTTTCCTTCTACCTCTTCAGAGGCTGGAATTGTTCAGTATAACCCACTTAGGAAAGCACAGTGTTTGAGACCCTCTATCCAAAATTCTTCTGATTTATCGGTGACTATTTAAAGTTTTCGAGATAGAAAAGTGCAAAGTTTCAGAGCTCCAAAAAACTGATTGCTTTTTTCCAGGCCACCTTAGCTGAGGTGCTGCGCAGACTGAACGTGTTGGAGGGAATGAGGAACGCCTCCTCTCTCCAGTCAACCCCATCTACTCCCGTGAGGATCAACGGTAACGCCTCCTACAAGGACCTGTTGAGGAACAAGTCCATCAGCTACTCGGCCTCCAAGGCGGAGAATGGCGGAAGAAAGTGAGGAACGAGGTTCTTGGTTCAGCGGCCAGTTGATTAAGGGTGGTTTCTAGGTACGCGCCGTCCTCGTTGCCTCAAAGACGAGCCGTCCATTATCAGTCCACAGGTAGCCTGCACTCGGACAGCCAAAGTTCCAGCAGTGTGAGCCCCATTCCATCGCCTTCTCCCAGGTGAGCAATCAAAGGTCTTTACTCAAAGGCAAAGTTCTCTAAAGGTCGTTTTGCAGGGCTACGCCCCAGCCTTTGAACGTGCGCCGGCCTTTATCAGTTACCAGCACCAGGTAAACAGTAAAACCAGGCAAAAAGGCTTAGAAAGTAGCCAGGTTGATGTGTTTGTGATTTCAGCAGTGGCTCAGGAACGGTGGCTCCGAGCCAAACTTTGCACAAAAGGTGGAGTTCGACGGGGGATTTCAATCAAAGCGGCGCCACAGGAATACGAAGCAAGTAAGTGTCAGCTTGGGGGAAACATTCCCAGTTATCTGTTATCTAACCGCCACCAATCCCAATCCCATTCTAATACACGCATGTGTAATTTTGTTTTGTTTTTGTTTCTAGATTTTCCACCAAGTCATTCATGAACCTATTTAAATCTAACGCTAGTTTAAGCAGTCCCAACCTTAAGCACGGGTATGTTTTTGTTTTTTTTTGTTTTGTTTTGTTGTTTCGTTCAATGGTAACAACATCTAGAGCACATGGGGGAAGGACAGCAAATGTTTGAATTTGTGCAATTGTTCGATGTAACTTCACCTTGGCTGTTTCACAGTCATCAGGCAAACACAAAGGCTCGCCTCTAATTGGGTAGTGCACCTTGCGTGAGGTGGAAAATTAATTTTTTATAGCGCAAACCGTCGCTCGATGTCGATCCATTGGAAGCCAAAGCTGGGGGGAAAAGAAAATGCAGCTCGGGCTGTTTAATGGGGAGGGTTTTGAGTGGAACGGTCCTCAACTGTTCCTATCGAGATCGTATTTTTCGGCCACATTTCCCGGTTGAAAATGCAATAGCGGGGAAGTTTCGGGTGGAAGTTTTTTCGCATTTTTTCGTTCCTACCAGTGGCCTTCACTCAACCGACTCAAACGAAACACAACCCAAACATTTCGCGTTTTTCTTCACTTGCGATCCAGTTCCGATTCCTTTTTGTGGAAGACAAAAGTTCAAATGAGCTGGCAACAGGGTTTTGGGTCTTCTGCCAGTGTCGTGCCCGCAGGGCTTGACATCATTTTGCAACCAGAAAATTTGGCAATTTTCTTCACGAAATTTGATGTTTAAACACATCTAAAGATGGAAATGGTGTCGAATTCTTCGGGTGCCGCACTGAAACAAACCAGCAAATTGTAAAACAGAGTCGAGAGTCTCTTTCTGGGTTTCTACCCCTTCGGGCACGACACAACTTTGTTTTCAAACACTCTCTAATGCGCTTGTTGTGCCGAGCCCTTCGGGCACGACACTGACTGACTTGCAAAAAGTGCCCAATTGGCGAATTGAGAGCGTTTTTTGTGTCCAAACCAGTGGGTTAGAGTTTTGACGGGGGCCCTGATGATGACAGCGACTGGGTGTCGAAACGTCGGGCGCTTGTTGCGAATTCACCTGCACGGTTATCCTCGATTTGTGGCCTTAATCGGGCAATTAGTCGGCAAAGCACAATGAAACAACGAAATTTACATTGACTCCACGCTCTACTGGTCTGGCCCAAAAGTGAATCGTACAAACATCAATTTATTTATTGTTCGGCTCAACGCCAACTAGACAGCGTGTGTGTGTAGATGTGTGAATTTTTCATTCCGACTTTTATCGGTTCGGGCTTATCTTCGCGAACCAACCGTTTGGCGATTAGTTGTGGTTTCGTATCGGTTGAAAATGAACAAAAAATCGGATGGGCGCAGTCACAAGGTCCCTAGGGACCCGAAACTTAGGTGGGTGGAAATGGTATTTAGCCCTGTTGAAAATATCTGGTGGAATTTTAGGATGAAAGAAGCCATTTTCAATGAAGACGACAAGACGGTGAAGATCTTCATGAAGGGCAGACCGGTGATTCTTCACGCGCCCACTGACCTGGCCGATTCCTACGAAATCACCAAGGTATCAGCAATCTAATCACCAGAGCCTTGGAAAAGCCAGCGCCTTGCTATCGATTGTTTTAGGTGTCAACAGCGCCCATGCAACGATTGAAGCTGGATTGGGTTTACGGCTACCGCGGCAGAGATTGTCGATCGAATCTGTACTTTTTACCCACTGGGGAAATGGTTTATTTCGTGGCCGCAGTGGTCGTGCTCTACAATGTGGAGGAACAAAATCAGCGCCATTATCTGGAACACACTGACGACATCAAAAGGTTGTTTGATTCACGGGGTTTTCGGGAGTTTAAATGGCGATTTAAACATTTTTTTTCAGCCTGGCCATTCATCCGAATAAAATGCTGGTTGCCACTGGGCAGAGCTGTTCCAGTCACGATAAGCTTAATGGCCGGGTAAGTGCGGAGTTTACTCGGAAAAAAATTTTTTCAAAGCTGACAACAGTGCTTTTTGCCTGCATATGCCAGTGTCGTACCAATTTTGTTTGCTGAAAATTTTGTCGGATTTTCGTGTTCCTAGATATCCAAACGACGGCTTTTTGAAAAAACGTTTCTCTTATTTAATGGGAGGGAGCTGTCTTTCGAAAACGGTTGCTCTTTCTAAAAAATCCAGCCGATCTTAACATACTTTGTGGATTTTTTGCAAAGCCTCAGCTTAAACGTTTTACGAAAAAAGGCCAAAACTATGATTTTCAAAAAAAAACCAAATACAGGGTGGTTTTCTGCCCTGCTAAGACAGGAAGTCGTACCTGCAAAACCCAAGTTTTGAGATATTAAGCAATTTGTAAATTATGACATGCCATCTTGGCTTATTTGCAAAACTGTTCTTTTTTAACATCTCAATGTGAACTTCACGTTAATAAACTTACACAAGAAATCTTAAGGGTGTAAATTTTGGGATTTGATAAAAAATTTACTTTTGTTAGATACGACTTTTTGATTTAGTATTCTCATACTATTAAGGTATAGACATACTAAGTAAGTTTGCAGTATAGTACTCATAGTTTAGCAAATAACGTAAAAGCAAACAACACAAACTTTGTAAGAAAAACATATATTAACTAAAAATAATACATTATCTAATA